AGCCGCCGGCGTCGGCGTGGGCTGTGGTGGGGCTGCAGTGGGCAAAAGTGGGCTGCTGTGAGCTGCTGTGAGTGGCCGGCGGCCAATGTGAGCAGCCAGAGGCTGGAGTGGGCTGCCATGGGCAGCTGTCCAATGGCTGGCGACTGACTGCCTCACCTGGGAAGAGCGCAATGATCACAGTGCCAACATGGGTCAGTGAAGCGACATCCTCCACGGCTAGACTGAAGAGTAAGAGGGCAGCGGCTTGTCTGTTCCCTTCCGCCGATTCTCCAACGCTGTTCCCCTCCCCCAATTCCCCAATAAAATCTTTAAAAAAAACCCAGATTCTACATATATGTGACATCATATAGTATTTGTCTTTCTCTGCTTGACTTATGTCACTCACCGTGATGCCATTAAAGTGCATCCATGTTATTGCAAATGGCAGGATTTCCTTCTTTTTTATGGTTGAGTGATATTCCAGTGTGTGTACCACGTTTTATTTATCCATTCATTCATTGATAGACACATTGTTTCCATGTCTTTGTTATTGTAAGTAATGCTGCAATGAATATGGGTGAGCAGATAATCTTTTCAAGTTTGTATTTTTGTTCCTTTCAGATAAATACCCAGACATGGAATTGCTGGATCATATGGTCGTTGTAGTTGTAATGTTTTGAGGAAACTCGTACAGTCTCCATGAGTCTACATATTTACATTCCCACTAACAATGCATAAGGGTTCCCTTTTCTCCACATTCTCATGAACACTAGTTATTTCTTGTCTTTTTTGATAATAGCCATTCTAATAGGTGTTAAGTGGTATCTCGTGGTTTTGATTTACATTTTCCTGATGATTAGTGACATTGAGCATCTTTTCATGGACCTGTTGGCCATCTGCATGTCCTCATTGGAAAAATGTCTATTCAGATCTTCTGCCCATTTTTTAATTGGTTTGTTTGTTTGTTTATTTGCTGTTGTATTGTTGTATGAGTTCTTTGTATATTTTGGTTATTAACTCTTGTCAGATACATGATTTGCAAATATTTTTTTCCTTTTAGTAAGTACCTTTTTATTCTGTTGATGGTTTTATTTGCTGTGCAGAAACTTCTTAGTTTGATGTAGTGCCTTGTTTATTTGCTTTTGTTGCCTTAGATTTTGGTGTCAAATCCAAAAAATCATCAGCAAGACCAGTGTCCTCCCTCTTCTCATCTTACATGACCTCTGCTGGCAAGAGGGAACAATCTTTCCCTGGGCTTTTTTTTTTTTTAAACTCTACCCTATGGCAGTCCTGGGTTGCAGTGTGCTATTTGGGATATGTATACAGGAGGCAAAAATAAACCCTAAGGAATTTAACACCTGGTCCTCCATTAATTCCTGAAGTGTCTGCCCATTCTGCCTCCTGTCCTCATTTCAGAATCTTCCAATACTTGATCTGTGTGTTATGTCAGTGGTTCTAAATTATAATTAATGGGAGTTTTTGGGTGGAATGTGCTTACTCCATCATGATTAGAATGGGAACTTTATTCTCACATTTATTGAATGAGTGATTAAATGAATATGAGTTGTGACAATTAAGTTCGCGAACTCACCCTAGAAAAAGTGCTACATACCTCGTTGTTGAATATCACTATGGTCACCTTCAAAGTACTCCCCTTGGGAAGCTATGCACTGATGCCAGCACCTAGTCCACCCTTCAAAGCAGCGGTTCTCAACCTGTGGGTCGCGACCCCTTTGGGGGTCAAATGACCCTTTCACAGGGGTCGCCTAAGACCATCGGAAAACAAAAAGATATTTACATTACGATTCATAACAGTAGCAAAATTACTGTTAATAGAGTAGAAACGAAAATAATTTTGTGGTTGGGGGTCACCACAACATGAGGAACTGTATTAAAGGGTCGCAGCATTAGGAAGGTTGAGAACCGCTGCTTCAAAGCAATTTTGGAACTCTTTTTCTGGAAAGGCCATCAGAACTGTCATCATATTACCTTTGATGTCCTGAATATCATCAAAATGTCTTCCTTTCAGTACCTCCTTTATCTTTGGGTAAAGAAAGAAGTCATTGGGGGCCAGATCAAGTGAGTATGGGGGCTGTTCCAATACAGTTATTTGTTTACTGGCTAAAAACTCCCTCACAGACAGTGTGCTGTGTGAGCTGGTGCATTGTCATGATGCAAGAGCCATGAATTGTTGGCGAAAAGTTCAGGTCGTCTAACTTTTTCACGCAGCCTTTCAGCACTTCCAAATAGTAAACTTGATTAACTGTTTGCCCAGTTGGTACAAATTCATAATGAGTAATCTATCTGATATCAAAAAAGGTTAGCAACATCGTTTTGGTTTTTTTTTTAAGATTTTTTTTTTAATTGGGGAATTGGGGAGGGGAACAGTGCTGGGGAATCGGGGGAAGGGGAACAGACAAGTTGCTGTCCTTTTGTTCTTCAGTCTAGTTGTGGAGGACGTCGCTTCACTGGCCCATGTTGGTATTATCATTGCGCTCTTTCCGGGTGAGGCAGATAGGTCGCCGGCCTCTGGATGGCTGCTCACAGCGGCTCTTGGCAGCTCACACCGGCTGCCGGCCACTCTCGCTGGCTGCCAGCCACACAGGGTAGCTTATGGCAGCCCACTGCAACAGGGGCTACAGCCTACGCCATCACCGGCGACTCACGGCAGCCCAGCTCCAGGTCGAGCTGTTGTTCACCATCTTAGCTGTAGAGGGCGGTGTCACTGGCCCTCATGTGGGATCCGAACCTTCTGTTCAGAGTTGGTGTCCCAAGCCAGTTCTTAACCAACGCGCCACTCGGCCGGCTCAGCAACATCATTTTGATTCTTGATTTGGACTGACAGAACTTTTTGGTTGTGGAGAATTGGCTGACTTCCATTGTGTACTTTGACACTTTGTTTCAGGGTCACATTGGTACACCCATGTTTCATCACCAGTGATAACACAGCCCAAAACATTGTCTTGCCTCTCGGAAAGGTCTTGGCAAACTTTGACTTTCCTTTGCTTTTGTTCATCCATGAGCTCCTTTGGGACCATTTTCGCACACACTTTTCTCATGTCAAGATTTTCAGTTACAATTTTACTAACTGTTTATCGATGTTTACTTGGTCTGCTATGCTTCCCATAGTCAGCCACTGATTTTGATGCACAATTTGATGAATTGTTGCAATGTTTTCATCAGTTCTGCTCAATATTGGCCACCCTGACCTCTTTTCATCAGTGATGCATTCTCTCCCTTTGAAAAAACATTTAATCCATTTGTACACTGCCATTTTCTTCATGGCATTATCCCCATAAACTTGGACTAATATGTTCCTGATTTCACTTTCACTCTTGCCAGTTTTAACAAGAAATTTAATGTTTGTTTGTTGCTCTAATTTAAGTTCAGACATTCTTGGGATGGCACACAAAAACATGCAACAATCATGAACATCACTCAGCAAGACACCGCCACATGTTGCCATGAAGGTTATGAAACCTTACTGAGCTATTTGTACAGTGCTGCCAATGTAAGCACATGGTAGCAAGTTCGCAAACTTAATTGTCAGACCTCGCACCTTGCCTACAAGTTGCTTGTGTTTGTGGGTGTCAGTATAACAATAGGTATAGTATTAAGGAATTATGATAAATTTCTATGGGAGCTCACAGGCATAGGAATGAAATTATTTTTAGTGATTTTGGAATAGGGCATTTGGTATGGTGGTAAGGTCATTATTCAGACAAGAGTACTCTTACACTAACTAGGTGTCCTTTAATTCAGTTCAATCAAGACACAGACCCACAGGTTAAGGACAAAGTCCTCCGCAAGACTGCCTCTTTTCAGATGCCAGCTGTCAGTCTCAGGGGCCACCTGCACTTCTGACCTACTTGGCCATAATTTGGGTGTTCCTACAACCCCCTGAGATTTGATAATTTGCTGGGACTCAAGAGAACTCCTTGAAAGTGCTAAACTAAAAATTATAGTTTTATTATAAAAGCTACAACCCAGAAACAGTCCAATGGAAGAAATGAATAGGCCAAGGCCTGGGCCTGGGTGGGGTTGGGGCCCAGGGAGAAACATAGAGCTTTGGTGCTCTTTCTCATGGAATCCATGCACATCAGCTTCCAGGCACCTCATTGTGTTTGTTCACCCTCCAGGAAGCTCCACTGAGCTTTGATGCCCAGATTTTTAACTGGGATTTTATTCCTTACATAGGGATCATTGATTAAATGATTGCCCATGTGCTTGAGCTCCTCCTGCCCCCTCTCCTCCCTGTGGGCCTGCTTGGTCCAAAGTTGCAGTCTCTTTAATCAAGTGGTTTGTCTTTGTGGTGACCAGCCCCTGTCCTGAGGCTGGCTAGGGATTACCTTGAGTCATTAGTAACAGAACAAAGGCACTCGCCTCACTCAGGAATTTTAAGGGTGTTTGAAGCTATGTGCTAGCAATTGGGGACAAAGATAAGATATACCAGGGGTGCCAAAAAAAATGTATACAAGTGGACACTTTGGTCAGTGTTGCTTAAGCAGTAGTTCGCCATAATCAGAAGTGTCTGGATGCTGATGGTAAGTAACCACTTTGAGCACCTCTTGAAATTGCAGAAGTCAAACGTGACTTGTGTTCACCTTTTGTTATTGGCATATATTGAGTATTACAATTTTAATATGTGTATACATTTCTTAAAATGTGTATACATTTTTTGGGCATCCTTTGTATTCTTTATTATACCACAGTCATCAAATAAGATTTCAAGAAGAATGTGGCATTTGAGTGATGCCTTGCAAGATGGGTGGGATTTAAACATTTTGAGATGGGGTAAAGGGCATTCTAGGCTGAGAAAGCTGCATTAGCAATCATCACACAGGGCACATAACTCAAAAGTGCGGAGTTCAGTATGTAGAAATATATCTTTTTTCTTTTTCTTTTTAGCTTTAGTGGGATATATAAAAAGCAATAATAACAAGTAAAGCCAGGTTGGGGCTCTTATTTAATGATATTTATTAATGACATTTATTAATCACAGAATTTCTATATTCCTACAGAGCAGAAGAAAGAAGAGATGTGTTTTTGTTTTTCCGAAGTCTACACTTTTTTGTGGAGTGGTGTGAATATCGGAACCGCACATTTAAACATTTCAAGGTAAAGTCTAAAGTCTTTACATTTAAACATATATGAAAAAGTGAAACATGTTAATTTGGGGATTTGGCATACCATTTGTTCCTTAAAGTTTTTAAGCAACAGAAACTGTTCTAATGGGCTTTTGGAATTTGCAATTATTTGGAATAAATGAAGGTGGAATGCTTCTGTACAAATCTTTGAATCTTATATAATTAAATATCTTGATTGATTTTATAACACATTTTTTTTTGTTAAAGATTTTGGGGAATTGGGGAAGGGGAACAGACAAGTTGCTGTCCTCCTGCTCTTCAGTCTAGCTGTGGAGGACGCTGCTTCACTGACCCATGTTGGGATTATCATTGCGCTCTTCCCAGGTGAGGCAGATCGGTCATGGCCACTGGAAGGCCGCTCACTGCAGCTCATGCCTGCTGCTGGCCAGCCCCACTGCAGCCTACGCCATCGCGGGCAACTTACGGCAGCCCGGCTCCAGGTCAAGCTGTTGTTCAACATCTTAGTTGTAGAGGGTGCATTGTCACCAGCCCTAATGTGGGATCCAAACTGGGGTCCTGCTGTTCAGAGCTGATGTCCCAAGCCAGCTCCCAACTAACACGCCGCTCAGCCGGCCCTTATAACACACATTTTGAAAAATTATTCTGTCAAGGATACTTGAAATACAATGACAAATGCTAATAAAGAATACAATCACAGCAGGCTTATCACACAGCATTATAATCTGAGTGCATTTTGAGCTTCTTAATTATTGTATAGCTCAAGTTTAAATACTGAAGCCTGATTCTTGTTAAGTAATGCTTCTTAAGTCTGATGCTGGTACATTCAAAGACTCCTTTTTATTCCCTTTGTTTATTTTCTGGCACAACTAGAATTATGCTTGGCTGCATTGTAATCCCCCAGGTGGATAGCATTAAGTTTTTGACAGCAGTGATCCACACGAGGAGCTCTGAAAGAGTTAATAATGTCTCATGGTTCAGGTTCCCTTCCAAGCCGTACTGGGTCATGACTGTTGTTTTTATGGCTGGTAATAACTCTCCTTTGGAGTCTTTTATTATTCTTTGCATTCTATTAGGCTGAGCTAATGAAATCTGTCAGGCATAGGGTTTTCTTTAGAATGAAATGTGCTAGTACCTGTCCTGTACCTGTCCTGTACCTGTACCTGTACCTATAGTGTGGTCCCTTGAGCAGTTCTCATGATTATGTTGTTTATTCACAGGTGCTCTTGCACCGGAACTGTTAAATAGATCTGCTTCACAAATGGGGGAGGAATAAGCTGGAAGTTTTGCTTATGAATCACCTAATGTGGTTGTTTTACTTATTATACATTTAGATGGGTTGTGGGAAATGTGAGTGCTAGCCCCGTTTCCAAAGCCAGTTAGCCTCCAGGTGCTTTCAAGGCAGGTACAGAAGTATAGTTGGTGTGTTATTCCTATAGAGCAACGGCTCTCAACCTGTGGGTCACGACCCCTTTGGGGGTCAAACGATCCTTCACAGGGGTCGCCGGGTACTTGTATGTGGGCGTATGTGCATGTGGGCCTGGAGATGGATAGAGGAGTGGTGTCTCGGTTTCTAAGACCATCGAAAATATGTGTTTTCCGATGGTTTTAGGCGACCCCTGTGAAAGGTTGAGAACCGCTGCTATAGAGGATAGTGCGCTACAGTGAGCTGGTCTTTGCTGGTGATAAGGTTGCTCGAATGGAAAGAAACACAGTGTTGTACAGCCATCACCAGTGTCTGTCTCCAGAACTTCTTCATCACCCTGCACTGATCCCCTGTCCCCATTACACCCAGCTTGCCGTTCCCTTCTCCCCCATTTACTGAGAACCACCACTCTGTCTTCTGTTTCTGTGAATTTGATTACTCTAGGTACCTACCTCATTTAAGCAGAATTGTAAAATGTATCCCTTTTGCCCAGCTTATGTCACATCGCATAATGTCTTCATGCGTCATTGATGATGTAGCATTGGTCAGAATTTCATTCCTTTTTAACGCTGAATAATATTCATTTTATATATTTACCACATTTTGTTTATCTGTTCACCTGTTGATGGACACTTGGGTTGCTTCCACCTTTTGGCTGTTGTGGATAATACTTCTATGAACAATGGTGTACAAGTTCCTATTCAAGTCCCTGCTTTTAGTTCTGTACATGAAATTGCTTAGATCATATGGTAATTCTATGTTTAAGTTTTTGAAGAACTTCATATTGTTTTTCACAGCAACTGCACCATTTTACTTTCCCAACAGCAATGTACAAGGCTTCTACTTTCTCCACATCCTTGCCAACGTTTGTGATTTGGAGTGGGTTTTTTTCCTTTTTTTTTTGTCAGACCCAACTTAATGGGTGTGAATTGGTATCTCATTGTGGTTTTGATCTGCATTTCCTTGATGATTAGTGATGCTGAGCATCTTTTTAAGTGCTTATGGGCCATTTATGTATTTTCTTTGGAGAAATGTCTATTCAAGTCCTTTGCCCATTGCATTAGGTTGTTTGGGTTTTGTTTTTTTTGTTGTTGTTGTTGAGTTGTAGGAGTTCTTTATATATTCTAGATATTGATCCCATATCTAATATGTAATTTGCAAAAATCCCATTCCCTGGATTGTCTTTTTATTCTCTTGATATAATGTCTTTTGTTGCACAAAGTTTTTAATTTTGATGAAGCCAATATATTTTTTCTTTTGCTGTCTTTGCTTTTGATGTCATATCCAAAAAATCATTGCAAAATTTAATGTCATAAAGGTTTTTCTTTTTTTTTTTTCCCCTAAAGGTGTTATAGTTTACTTCTTTAGTTTAAGTGTTTGATTCACTTTGTAAGCTAAGGGTCCAGCTTCATTCATTTGCATGTACATATTCAGATTTCCAGCACTGTTTTTTGAAGAGACTCTTCCTTTTTATATTGAATGGTCTTGGTACCTTTGTTGAAAGTCATCTGACCATATATGCTCAAGTTTGTTTCTGGGCTGTCTGTTATAGTCTTTCGATCTATATTTCTGTCCTTATGCCAGTACCACACTTTTGATTAGTGTAGCTTTGTAGTTACATTTTGAAAGAAGGATGTATGAGTCCTCTAATTTTGTTCTTTTCAAATTTGTTTTGGCTATTTGGAGCTTTTAAAGATTCCGTATGAATTTTAGGATGTATGTTCCTATTTTTTTTTTTTAAATGTCACTGGGACTTGAATAGGGCTTGCATTGAACCTGTAGATTGCTTTGAGTAATATTGACGTGTTAACTATTCAGTTTCAATCCATGAACACAGGATGTCTTTCTGTTTGTGCATGTCTTCTTTAGTTTCTTTCAGGAATGTTTGTAAGGGTAAAATATATATATATATATTTTTAAGATTTTTATTCGGGAATTGGGGGGTTGGGAACAGTGCTGAGAAATTGGGGGAAGGGGAATACACAAGTTGCGGTTGTTTTCTTGTTGTTGTTTTTTTTGTTTTTGTTTTTTTTAAAGATTTTTATTGGGGAATTGGGGGGATGGGAACAGTGCTGGGGAATTGGGGGAAGGGGAACAGACAAGTTGCTGTCGTTTTGTTCTTCAATCTAGTTGTGGAGGATGTTGCTTCACTGGCCCAAGTTGGCACCATCATTGCACTCTTCCTGGGCGAGGCAGATCAGTCGCCGGCTTTTGGACGGCAGCTCACTGCGGCTGCTGGCCGCTCACGCTGGCTGCTGGCTACACACGGTAGCCCATGGCAACCCACTGACACAGGGGCTGCAGCCTATGCCGTCGCTGGTGACTCACTGCAGCCCAGCTCCAGGTTGAGCTGTTGTTCACCATCTTAGCTGTAGAGGGCAGTGTCACTGGCCCTCATATGTGGGATCCGAACTGGGGCCCTCTGGCGTCCCAAGCCAGTTCTTAACCATTGCGCCACTCAGCCGGCCCTATTTTTAATTTTAAGCCTTAATTTCTTAATTATCAGTGTTAAGAATGAAGCAATATCTATTTAAGATAATGGGATCAGCATGTTTTTACTGTCTCATTTATTTATGAGTTAAGGGTATATATAAGGTTGTCAGGTACCCATGTTCATGTCTTCTTTTTATATAGCAGTCTCAAAATTTTTTTAATGCTAATTCTATAATTTAGAGTTTTTCCCAGTGCTTTGTCCTAATTATTATTTTATCTAAACCACTGGCTTTTAAATTCTCTACAATTTGAGAGTTATGATTTTTTTTCTCCTTAAGATAAATTATGTTAAGAACATAGGAATACATTATTTTTCTGACATTTGGAAATGTGACAGGAGTCTTCTCTGACCATTTTCTCTAGTTTCGGTCCTACCACTTAGTGCTCCTTATCAAGTTTATTATTCCAGATATAGATACAGCTTATTTCCATTGATTTAGTTAAGATTGTGATAGTTCAAAGATTCTACTTTTCTAAGTGAAACAGGGCTCTTCTGTTTGAATGAATTTTATGAATTTTATTTTGCACTATTTGTTTTATTATTTATTATTTATTATTATTTATTATTTGTATTATTCAAGTCAAATGTGCTCACTATTATGCTAGGCACTTTAAAAGTATAAGGGGAATATTGAATGTGTTCAGTGTACTAAGTGAGCTTTCAATCATAGGGAAATGAGACATGCATATAAAATAATGAAAAAGCAGTACAATATTTATGATTATCAGTTACCAAAATAAAATAAGTGAGTGAGTTAATAAGTGTTATGGGGTAATTACTGTGGCCTTAAGAGATCCCAGATCATTTAATGAGAAGGTTCATTTTGGAGTCATTGACAAGTTGGAGAAAAATTGAAAACAGGTTATTTTAGGTAGGAAAAACATATGCTACCGGAAAAGCAAATGCTTAAAAATAGGAATAAGTATTTGTTCTGGGAATAGTATACAGAGACCAATTTGATTCTAATGTATAATTTATGTTGGAAACAATGTTGGTGATTTTTAAATACATAGTTGAAACTCATGTTTCTAAAGCACTGATAATTTTGTATGTAACCCCAAAGCAATGTGGAGATTACGACTTTTGAATGAGGTTTGGGCAAGTGGAGTTATTTTAGGAACTTTAATCTGGCAGCATTGTGTTATCATAAATCATCAGTATTAGAATAAAGATGATTTCTCACTGTTAAATGTTTTAGTTAATTATGGGTCTTTAGAAGATGTTGCTCAGAAGCTTTCTTGTTAATATATAGTCTGTTTGTATGACCATGGATGTGTAGGGGTGCGTGGGACAGTAGTGTGTAATAACACCACATAATTCATTTTGTTTTCATGTCCTACATTCGGACAAATTTATTGATGAGAGTCGCATTCCTATAGTGTAAAAAGAAAATATTATGCACTATTTATTGTATTTGCAAGCCTTTACAATAGAGAACTTAATGGCTGTTTTCTGAGAAATGGGATATACTTTGGGGCTTTATATATATATATATATATATATATATATAAGCATACTGATTTTGGCCTGCTTGACTTCATAAAATATTGTATACTAGATTTAGAATGTTAGTATTAAGATAAAAGAAAGTTTTGTACGATTTTACTAAAGCCTTTAACTGTGTCACTACAAAGCAGAATAAGTTTGAGCATCACTATATTAGCTCTTTATCAAAGAGTAAAATTATGCTGTATTTGGAAAGTTTTGCCTAGGAATGAGACTATGGCCTATTTCTCAGGCTAAATAAAAATATAATAGCTGCCTTAATAGAAAACAGAGTTTCTACTTCATAACTAACGATGTATGGATCATAAAAGAAAAATGGGAGATCGTTAGAAATATTTATCTTTTCAAAGGTTTTGGAACATTAGCCTTAAACGCTTTCCAGATCCAGTAAAGGCCAAATAAGACAAACAGCTGAAAGTTTTTTGGACTTATCCTCTTGCTTCATTAGTAATAGAAATAATGCTTCTTAAATTTGGGTATTGATATAAAAACCTACCTTTTAAACGGCATTCTACTATAAACAACAAGGATTTTGTAATGCTGCTTAAATATTTTTCACATTACTTTGTTTTGAATTTAGAAATTCAGTCTTACTTTTTACTTGTTATTTGTGAGGTTTTTGAATACCCTTGCTTAAAACATAAAATTCTTTCATAGTGGGATACAAAGTTAATATTAAACATTTATGCTCCTTTAGCCATTGCTGAGACAGAGTATACGTATATGTGTACTTTAGTTTATATACTGCATTGATAGTGGTTTAAAAGTATGACCCTACAGGTAATCTTTTTAAGCAGATGAAGCTGTTGGGGTGCTTTCCTAGGATGATAGGATTTCCCTCCAAGCGTATCTCTTCTATGCGGTCCCGAATGTAACGGGTGTCATTAGCCTTGCAGAACGTGTCATCTGTAATTGAAGTTATGTTGTTAAACTGGAAAATAAAAGGGAAACATTGGTCAGACATATGAATTCAACCTTTTGTATGCTATGTAATGGGAGCTCACAGAATATTTTATCTAAAAAGAGATTTTTAAAAAACATTGTGCATACTGTGTATCCATGATAATAAAACCCTCTCTGTGCAATCTGGGCACTTTTTTTAAGTCTACACTGTGACTTTGGAAGAACAGACCACTTGCTATTACTCAGAGTGATATCCATGTTAACAGAAAGTTCTGAGTATAAATAAGATTATACTAGTTAGAAAAAGTATCATATTCTAGAGTGTCAACTCAAAATGCATACTGCGTCCTTAAATATTCTTTAAAGAAGTACAGTAAATAGGAATTTTGGTGATGCTAAAAGACCAATTTTAGTTTATTTTCATTTCCTCTTCACTTTTCTATTACTACAAGTTGATGATGGGCAATAAAGTCAGTTGGAAAGTCTCCAAAAGCAAATGTTTACTGCTATTTGGAGAAAGAAACCGAATTTAGAGGTCTTTGAGTCCCCTAACTTCAAGTCCACGTGCCAGATTAACTCAGAGATGCTACTGCATAGCTGGAGAAACACCCTGTTCTGAGAGCAGACCTCACTCACGCCTAGTGTTGCTGGTCCTCTCAGGGTGCTTTGGACAGAATCGGGGCTTCGGGGCAGGAGAGTGTATTGGGCTCAATATGAATACCTGGGATAGGCAGAATTTACCTGTGAATGTGAGTTTCCTAATGAGTCATAAGAGTGACCTTAGTGATTTAAATTGAAGTCAGATATTGTGCAAGGAGCATCATACCTGAAGATGAATTACACGTAGGCTCTCTGGTAAATTTGGAGGCACGGATTCCAGCGCGTTGTGGTCCAAATAGAGGAAGGACAGGTTACTCAGTTTCTGTAAGGAAAAGACACTTTTGCTGTATTTTGTACATTTCTTCACAGGATTCAAACTCAACATGCACATCTGTGTACACATGTATATATACATAGACACTGATATAGACACATCAATACTATTAATTATTACTATGATAGTATTTTGGCTTTGGAGATTTTTTTGGTATCACAGATAATATATTTTGGTCCTTTATGATGGGCAGTAGAGCCTTGCTGCACCCCCGCATTTCTGTCCACTTTTCTGATCTCTGAATACCCAGCTTGCCTGGCCCAAACCTCATGCCAGTTTCTGAGGACCTTCGAGTTTGTCTTAGAAGCAGCTGATGAGGCCAGTCCCTATGCAGGATTGAATTTGAATCCTGGTGCCACTATAACTTCTTTTGAACCCCCAGAACTTCCCATTTTAGCTCTAATTTGTAGCAAAGTGAATATTCCTAAGAGATGTGTGTGCTTGTTAGTAAGATGGTTCCCAAAGCAATTTATTAAATACTTTTTGAGGTATGACTTTTCCCCCCAAGAGCTTAATATTCGGTTACCCTTCATGATCAATAACCCATTATTGTATATAATTTTATAATATAATTTCAAGATGTAGTTTCCTCTGACATTAATCTTTTATCTTAACTTTCTTTGATATGCATCCTGTGGCAAACTTTGCTAATTTTGCTTTTTTAGAATTAATTTTCTGGTATTTTAATCCTTTCATTAAGTATTGTACCATCATCCACCATCTAGGAACAAGCTCCTACCTTCCCCAAAGGGCCTCTTTCCATGGGTTGGAGTAACCTGATTTTACCAGTGGCTTTTGCAGCCCACGGCTTTAAGCAAAACTACAGAGTAGCTTAGTTTTACCATTTCCGTGCCAGCTTGTCGTGAATCCCTTCTGTAATACATGTACAAAATCCAAAATATTCAAACATGCCTTTTCTGAAGTGTTGATCAACTCCTGTAGGTCTCAACATGCCAGTTAGTAAAAGGCTGACCAGCTTGAATTACATATCTTCAAATTACAGGGTTTTTTGTTTGTTTTTAAAGTGAGTCCAGTTTTTAAAAGTCCCCTAAGAGTCCTTTAAATTCTGAGGAATTTTGATGTGTCTCTAGGTTATCCCTTAAATTTGAAAAAGGATCCCTTAAATGTAGACAAAAAGAAAAGAAAAAAAATATCTTTACATTAACTGGCAGATTGTACATTTGTGTGGTTATCATAAACTTTATGACAATGACTATTTGATAGCTTTAGGTGCTTCTCATTAGAAGCTACAAATATTCCTTTTGAATGAAGTTGTCTGTTGCCAACAGTAGCATGACCCTTTTATCTTAGGCTCCTATCAGGACTGGAATGAGTACATCAGCACTCAAGTCCTGGGCTGAGGTCTTTGCTTCTCCATAGACTGTGCACTTTGAGACAACCTGGCTACCCAAATCAGAGTAGATCACCTTCCCATTTCCCTGTACATATATTTTCTTGAATATTTAAGAAACGTATTTAATTTTTGCTACATGCAGAATTTTGTGTTAGATGCCATCATTGAATTAAAAGGAAGTCTCCCTACAGAATTTTGTGGTCTAATACATTTAAGTCTTAAAAGTAAAAATTCAATGTTTACTTCTAGAACTTTATTTTTTCAGGCATTTGTAAATTACTAATATGGTAAGGAAAAATAAACAGGAAAATTCCCATTTTGAGGTTTTATACAGGGTTGGTGACACAAGGGTGCGAACCATGTCTGTACAAATAAATATTTGCTGTGTGAACAAGTGGAAAAGATGGGACACAGTGTCATCTATGAAAGAAGATAACAGTTCTATAATTTCAGGTGAGGAACAGGCATAAGCTAGACAGAGTGAGCCTAACAGTATGGCTATTTATTATGTAAACAATTGAAATAGTTTTAAAACAAAACCAAATTCTAAACAAGAGTTTCTCTTTCTTTTATTATGTTATCATTGGCTGTGTAAAACTGATACTGTGTTCAGTCATACTCTAAAATACTTACTTTGAATGTATTTGCTTTGATCCCTCTACTCTTGATTTTGTTGTATTTTGCATTAAATAAAGTAAGCTTGGGAGGAAGAACTGGAAGTTTCAATAGTTGATTTTCAGCTAGTGTAAGTTCTTCTAACAAAGAAAGTTTTGAAAAAGTGCCGTCTTCTATGTCCTCAATCAAATTGCCCGTAAAATCGAGTCTTCTTAAGTTAGCTTGAAAGAAAATATACAAAACATACAGAAAGTATACAAAATAAGAAGTTAAATTCTCCTTTGTCTGGACTGAAGGAAAGCATTTGTTTAACAGGTCATTCAAACATCTTTTATTTTTAGTGTCTAGTAGAGTGTCTGCAAGTAGTAGCTTGGGGAATTTTGTTGAATGAATGCCAAGCATCTGTTCTGTACTTGACACTGATTGATGGCCTTTCTCATTGGAGTCCTAGGATCTCAGGTTTGGAAGGCCACTTCAAGTTAATAGAGTTCTTCAATCCTTCTCTGTGTGAATTCTCAGGATATTCAGGCAGTTTGAAAGAAATTCTTGCTGCAATTTCTCAGGGAACATAAGCAGTACATGTCATTGAATAGAATTGTCTAAATATTTTGGGATTTTTGGCCGGTGTGTTGCATTGTCATTGTGGGTATATTATCTTAATCTCTCTGTGCCTTACTGCTTAACAACAAAGACAAAAATAGTCCCTAATTTGTTAAAGTAATGTAAACTAAGAGAGAAATTCAGTGTGTGTGTATATGTGTGTATCACTTTTATCTGTCTGGGACGATTAGGAAATGTAGTCAGTCCTCATTTGAGATAGTCGTGTCTATAAAATTGCCGCAAACACTGAATTAGTAGATACAGAACCATTGTTCCTATGGAAAAAACAAGGCTAGCTGCTTTTGAGCCCCTGGTCACACGTTTTCATCAGCTAATCAGTACATAGTTTTATGTGTGTTTCTTTTAAAAGATAACTTATTAGTACATATTGTTGATATATTAACATTGAATTCAACAGCCACCAGCATTATAACTTGCACTTGAATGATTACTTAACACATGTATTTTTTCTGTAAGGTGCATCTCAGCCTTCTTGCACTTGGGAACACAAGAAAGCACTTCAGCGCTATGCTTGGAGACCATTTTAAACAGCAAAAAGCATAAAACTGTGAAAAATATGGCACTAAGTGGACTGAACAGGATGCTTGTTTACAGTATAAAAGCAGAAACAACAGATCAGGGCATCACCTTGTTTGACCGTGGCTGGTTAATTCCATTTTTCCCTTTTGCCACTGTGCACATATCTGCCAATGAATGTGAAACTGCTGCAAATGTTGATTGGGATTACAAACCAATCGTAGCAAGTAGGTGAGTTTGAAAACATGCAGTCCACAAATGATGGGAACAGCTACTTCAACCAGTCGGGAGCTAGTAGTGGCAGCCTGAACCCAGTTACTGTTCATCTCGTAAGTGTAGCAAAGCCAGCATTTCTCGGTTTGATTTTCTTCAGAAGCACTTGACACCATAGGAATTTAAAAAACCTTAGGATTTGGTGATCCAGGCCTGGGACTAGGCACTGAGGATGTTCAGGGTTTGGTGCTCACGGCAGTGCCCTAGAGGCGGGCGGTTGTAAGGTTTGGTAGGATGTCAGAGGCCAGGTGTTAACCACCTGGGAAGGAATTACACGGCACCGTTCTCAGTACAGTTCCGTACTAGAATTATGGGAGGCATTCGGTTGTGTTTCATGGTGATGCCTGCGCCTCTCCCTAGACCTGAATTAGAACCTCTGGGACTAGAGCCAGTATCGGTATTTTACAGTGCTTCCCCAGATTTTTTAAATCGTGCAGCCAGCTTCAAGAACCATGAGTTAAAGTAAGGAAAAGCTGCTTCTATAATGAAGGTAGAAAATAAAATATTGTTGGAGAAGCACCCTGATGATGTTGGTGTTACTGACTGGCTGAGGCAAATACGTCTTAAAGTATCGGGGCTGAGGAGTAGTTTGTTTGTGGGTTAGACTGGCTGTCAACACAGACACCAAAGTCACCGGCAGAGAAAGAGGACAGGAGCTCTGAATGGATAGGAGATTCACTGCCAAACCAACGGATCTTCGTGAAATGTGGTGGGGACCTCAGTACTCCAGCAGTGACTGTCCTGGGTGTGCTAGGCCACAAGTGCTTACTCTTGTGTTTATGTGAGTTCAGTATTATACTAACATGAGTCAATACTGATATCTTATTTAAAACTAACTTACGTATTTCTGCAAAATCCTTGGCAGTCAGCTTTTTAATTTTGTTGAATCGTGCATAAAGATAGGCTGATTCCTTTGGCAAGGGTGGGACAACATCAATGTCAACTTCTTCACAGTATACAGAGCCACTTAAACAAACACACACCAGGCACGTGGGCATTTCTAAATTGGGGAACAAAATCATAAAAATAGAAACAGTAGTTTAAAAATACTTGGCATCTGGTGGTAAAATTATTGTTATCATGAATGTTATTATTAATTTGAAAAGATATTTTACAGAATCGTAGGTGATAGCAGGGAAGATATCATGGTTATGATAGTGTATTATATTATAACTGATAATTCACCAGAATTTTATTTTAGATTTTGTAATGCACAATCTCTTATATTCTGTTTTAGCATTGATTCCTTAACTGCTGAATTGACAGTTATATTTCTTCATCTGAATACCAAAAAAATTCATAAAGCAGGACTTAAGGTAAACACAAGCTTGATTTATCACTTGGTATGGCACAAACACATTTCAGACTGGTGATAGCTAAGGAGTTTAGAAACTACTAGTTAGATAAGCAGATTCTTAACTTGAAAATTAGAGTCGTTGTAGGCAACGTTAGGATTCCATTTCACTCTACCATCATTCATTGCATTTACTTGTCATGCCTCTTTTGTCTCTCTCAACCTGGAACAGTTTCTCAGTCTTTGTTTTTCATACCTTTTACACTTTTGAAAAAATTTTAATTTTTGTTTAAAAATTATTTTTAAGGGTACTTATTTTGCAGAATGTCTTTTAATTAAGGTTTGTCTGAGGTTCCCCATTTTTGGCAGGAATACCATGGAAATGCTGTTGGGTCCTCAGTGCCATGTATCAAGGAGTACATGGTATCTATCTATTTGGCCCATTCCTGATAATGTTGTCTTTGGTCATTGGTTCATTAGGTGTCTACCATGTTTTTCTCTCTGTAAAGTAAATATTTTTCATTTTGTATTAATAAGTATCTTCCAGAGAAGTACTTTGAGATTTTAAGGTCATTAAACCTTCACCCACTAGTTTTATCATCCATTGATTCTTACCTGAATTGTTTATCATTAGGATGGTTGCCAAATAATAATTTTTTGATTCCATCTTTCTTTCTATACTTGTTATTAGCATTCTGGTGGACCATTCCCTTCTTATTTATTTATTTATTTATTTATTTATTTATTTATTTTGGTCAGTATGAACTTATGAATTCCATATCCCATGGGCCATAATACATTACCATCATAGTTATTTTTATAGTCAATTGTCACAGATTAGCCAATGAGCTCTTTTAAGATCTTTTTTATTCTGCCACAGCTTTTTTTGTGGTTAAATGATATACAATAAATTGCACATATTTAACTTGTATAAGCTTTTGATATATATATATATATATATCCATGAAATTATTACCACAGTCGAGATAATTATAATAACCATCATCCCCAAAACTTTCTCACACCCTTTGGTAATCCCTCCCTCCGAGTCTTGTCCCCAAGCAAGCACCGATCTGTCATTATACATTGATTTACGTTTTTGAGAATTTTATCTCAAAAGAATCATGTAAGATATGCTGTTTTGTCTGGCTTCTTTCACTCTGCATAGTAATTTTGAGATTCACCCGTTGTTGCTTGTATCAGTAGTACATTCCTTTTTATTACTGAATAGTAGTCCGTTGTGTCAATATACACAATTTAGACAGTCATCTCTAATAAACATTTTGGTTTCCAGTTTTTTACTATTTTAAAGAAAGCTGCTAAAAACATTTATGTACCAGTTGTGTGGACTTAATGCATTCATTTTCTGGAGTAAATTCCTAAGAGTAGAATGGCTGGGTTGGTGTATATATACCTTTTAAAGAAAGTCCAAGATTGTTTTCCAAAGTGGTTGTGCCATTTTATATTCCCATCAGCACTGCATGAGAGTTCCATTTGCTCCATATCTTCACCAACATTTGGTATGGTTGGACTTTTTAATTTTAGCCATTGAATCAAGTAAAGTGTGTTGTGGTATCTCGTGTTTTAATTTGCATTTTCCTAATGACTAATGATGCTGAGCATCTTCTTACATAATTTGCCATCTATATATTTTCTTTGGTGAAGTATCTATTTATATCTTGTGCATTTTTTGGTATTATTATTGAATTATATGATAAGATATTATAGATGTCATTTATCAGATTTATGTTTTGAAAATATTTTCCTTTAGTCTTTGTCTTTTTATTTTCTTATCAATGTCTTTTGAAGAGCAAACATTTTAAATTTTAATGAAGAACAATTGATTTCTTTATAGTTCAATTTTGTGTTATATTTAAGAAATAAATCCTTGTCAACCACTAAGTTTTTATCCTTTGTTTTCTTATAAAGGTTGTATAGTTTAAGTTTAAGTTATATTCAGACATAGGGTCCATTTTGAGTTAATTTGTGTATATATAGTGTCAGGAAGGGTCAGAATTTTTTTTCTTTTTCTATAACTATCTGGTTCTTTCAGTACCATTTTTTGAAAAGATTATCTTTTCTCCATTGAATTGTATTGGCACCATTGTAAAAAAGGAGTTTACTATATTGTATAAGTTTGTATCTGGACTCTGTTCTGTTCCATTGATCTATTTGTTCATTTTTGTGCTAATACTATAATATCTTGATTCTTGTACCTTTATAATAAGTCTTTATAGTAGTTGGTATAAATCCCCCGACTTTATTCTTCTTCAACGTTGTTATGACTGTTATGGGTTCTTTGCATTTCCATATAAATTTTAGAATCAGCTTGTTAATTAAAAAAAAAAAAGGCCTGCTAGGATTTTAATTGGGATTGCATTGAATCTACAAATATATTTGAGGGAAATTGCCATTTTAACGACATTTGAGTTTTCTTGTATTTTAGCACAATTCATATATCCATGTGTTTAGGTCTTTTTATTTTCTCTCAGCTTTGTTATCTAAATTTCAGTGTACAGGTGTTATACATCTTTTGCAAATGTCTACCTATGTATTTTTCATTTTTTGATTAATTCTTTAAAAGTTAAATGTCTCCTTTGTTCTTTGAGAACGTCCTTATTTTCTGTCTTTGTAAGATGTCCCAGACCAATCTTGCCTTTTTCCTGCCCCAAGCCTGAAACCAGCTATTTCTTCAAGGAGTACTGGTTACTTTTAGTAGGAAGTGGTATTTAGAAACCAAGATCTCGGTGTGCATATGCTCATTGCTACTGGGATCTCATTGCTTCTAGGCTTTTTCAGCAGAGAGAGCTAGGAAATATAAGTGTGTATATTTGTATCTCTCTCCTTAAATAATACACATACATACATGAATACTATATTCATACACATATAGACACATATATATATGTATGTTGTGTGTATATGTATATGCTATATAAGTGTATATATATATATATACGTATATCATATACATATATACACAACACATTCACACTTACACTGAGAGACAAACACATCTATATCTATTTCTGTATACAAGCCATGAATTGATGGTGCTATCTTCCATTCCAGTTTAGCTCCACAGTATTCATTCTAGCCTTACCCCTTTCCATATTTGTAACACCCTTTTCTGACTCTTAAGAAACCTACTTCTCATTATCACAGTGTGTTTACTTTACTTTGGTCAGTCCTAGAACAAACATTAAGTCGTTTTATTATTGCTAACCTGTAACACTGTGGAAAACAAACCTACTCACTGGAATTTTAGTATTTGTCTATATAGTCAAAATACTGTGTTCAAGGTTTACTTGGGTTAGATTCCCCCCTCCTTAGTGTGTTATGTTATTCATTTGAAATGTAATTAATTTTCTATTTTTCTGTTTGTATTTCAGTTCTTTTTTTTTGTTAGCTTTGTTAATTTTATTTATAAATGTATTTGTTTTTTGCCTGTGTGAAACCTAACATTGTTCTAAAATCAAATCTGCACAAAAAGTGTATACTTGGGCTGGCCGAGTGGCGCAATGGTTAAGAACTGGCTTGGGACACCAGAGGGCCCTGGTTCGGATCCCACATATGAGGGCCAGTGACACTGCCCTCCACAGCTAAGATGCTGAACAACAGCTCAACCTGGAGCTGGGCTGCCGTGAGTCACCGGCGATGGGATAGGCTGCAGCCCCTGCGGCAGTGGGTTGCCATGGGCTACCGTGTGTAGCCAGCAGCCAGCGTGAGCGGCCAGCAGCCGCAGTGAGCGGCCGTCCAGAAGCCGGCGACTGATCTGCCTTGCCCGGGAAGAGCGCAATGATGGTGCCAACTTGGGCCAGTGAAGCAACATCCTCCACAACTAGACTGAAGAACAAAACAACAGCAACTTGTGTATTCCCCTTACCCCAATTCCCTCAGCACTGTTCCCATCCCCCCAATTCCCCAATAAAAATCTTAAAAAAAAAAAGTGTATACTTGAAGAAGTGCAGCTGCCCTCCCCACACAACCCTTGATTTCCCATTCCTCCTCCTCTCCACCACTGGTCCCGTCTGTAACCCGTAGGTAATTAGCCTCAGTGTTTCATTACCCTTCTTGAGTTTCTTTTCACTCAAGTGAGTTGATGCCTGTAAATGTTCTTCTATCCCCTTTTTGTGTGACGAAAGGCAGCATACTGTAGGTACTCTTTTGTACTTTGGCTTTTTCACATAACGTATTCTGGAAATCATTCCATGTTAGTTCATAGAGATCTTTCTCATTTCGTTTTACAACTGCATACTATTCCATTGTGTAGCTGTGCCATACTTTAGTCAACCACTCTTCAATGTGTGGGCATTGTTTCCAATTAGATTGTTTACAATGGCAAGCAATGCTTCAATGATTTTGAGTATGTATTTTTTTTTTTAAAGATTTTTATTGGGGAATTGGGGGGATGGGAACAGTGCTGGGGAACTGGGCAAAGGGGAACATACAAGTTGCTGTCATTTTTGTTCTTCAATCTAGTTGTGGAGGATGTTGCTTCACTGGCCCAAGTTGGCACTGTCATTGCACTCTTCCCGGGTGAGGCAGATCCGTCGCCGGCTTCTGGACGGCCGCTCACTGCGGCTGCTGGCCGCTCACGCTGGCTGCTGGCTACACACGGTAGCCCATGGCAACCCACTGCCAAGGGGGCTGCAGCCTACGCCGTCGCCGGCGACTCACGGCAGCCCAGCTCCAGGTTGAGCTGTTGTTCAGCATCTTAGCTGTGGAGGGCAGTGTCACTGGCCCTCATATGTGGGATCCGAACTGGGGCCCTCTGGCATCCCAAGCGAGTTCTTAACCATCGCGCCACTCGGCCGGCCCAGAGTATGTATTTTCTTACTTTGGGGTTTATCTTTAGGGTAAATTCCTAGAAGTCGATTGTTATGTCAGAAAATGAATGTATATTTGATTTTTTTAGATATTACCAAATTTCTTTCCAAAATATTGTAACAGTTCGCATTTTCTTTTTTTTCTTTTTTTTAGCTGAGCCATCCTGCCACCTGTTGGCAGCTCAGCGGCAGCTCAGCTCAGGCTGGGCATTGAACCGCTGTTGCTCAGAGCTTGCACTCTTGAGAAAGCTCTTAACCAACTGAGCCACTCGGCCGGCCCCAGTTTGCATTTTCACCAGCAATGTATGGGAGTTTGATACCCCGTAACCTTGCCAATGGGATACAGCGATATATTGTCACACTTTTAATTCTTGTCAGATAGGTTAAAAATGGTATTTCAATGTAATTATTACTACATTTCTCTATGTATGACGTTGAGCATCTTTTCATGTTTAAGGGTCATTTTTTATATCATTTAGTGAATTATCTGTTCATCTCTTTTGCCTATTTTTCCAATGGATTTTTGGTCAGTTTTCTTTTACTGGATTTTTATGTGTTTTGTTTGTTTTGCTTTGTTTTTCATAATTTTCAGTTCTATTATTGTCTCTGGATTTTGAGGCACCTCACACCCAAGTTATTTTGAGTATTTGTATGGTTTCACTTTTTCCATTTAGACTCGAATTCATTTGGAGTTTGTTTTTCTGTGTAAGGTATAGATCTAATTGTATCCCTTTTTTAGTTGACTGCTCAGTTGTCCAAGCACCATTTTAAAAACATATAATCTTTGCTTCAGTGATTTAAGATGTTGACTTTATTATATACTACATTTCTACACATATTTCTGTCTGTTTCTGGGCTTTCTATTCTATTAATGCACCAGCATCACATTTTTTTTTAAAGTGTAGAGGCTTTAAAGTATGTTCTAATGTGTGGTACATCTGGTTCCTGCAGGTGCCTGTCATTTTTCAGTGTTTCCCTGGCTGTTTGTGCAGGCTTGATTTTTCCACACGAACTTGAGATTCGACATTACCAGATCTTTAAAGAAGTTTATTGTTATAAATTTAGGGAGAGCTGACATTTTTATGATACTGAGTCATCCTATCCAAGAGCCAGGGATATCTTTCCATTTATTCAAGTCTTTTACTATGATACTTTTCAGGTTTCTTAAGATGTTATCTGTTTTGGTCCACTTTAATTGTAGCAATGTAGAAATTAGTGTGTGATTTTTTTTTCATGTTGTCATGTGAAACAATGTTCTGTGATAGCGCAAGAATAAACCAAATAGATAGGAACTATTAAGTAGGACTTTGTAGTTTGTTATACGTTTTTTGTTGTTTTAATTGAAATATACATTATTGTTATTTATGTACAGTCATGTACCGCATATTGACCGGTCAGTGACAGACCACATGTAGGAAGGTAGTCCCATAAAGTTATAATGGAGCTGAAAAATTCCTATCGCCTAATGAAGCTGTAGCCTTCATAATGTCATAGCACAATGTATTATTACTCATGTGTTTGTGGTGATGCTGCTTGTACAACCAACCTACTGAGCCACCACCAGTATAAAAATATAGCACATATGATTATGTGGCTTGATAATGATAATAAGTGACTATGTTACTGCTTTATGTATTTACTACACTGTACTTTTTGTCATTATTTTAGAGTGCATGTACCCTTTCTGCTGATTAAAAAAAAGTTTGCTGTAAAACAGCATGCTGTGTTACACCGGCAGCAGCCTCATCCATCTTGTTTACTATGTCTCTTGATGGCGTCATTCTCTCTCTGGGAGCAATAGGCTGTACCATAGGTGTGTAGTAGGCTGTACCATCCAGGTTTGTATGAGTCGGATGTTTGCAGGACGAAGTCACCTAATGATGCATTTCTCAGAATGTATCCCCAGCATTAAGCACAACATGACTGTATGCAGATGTTCCTCAACTTACGATGGGGTTACATCCCGATAAACTGAAACTTGAAAATATCCTAAGTCAGAAATGTGTTTGATATGCCTAACTACTGACCATCATAAATTGCCTAACCAGTTTCTACTGAGTGTCTTTTGCTTTTTGCACCATCATAAAGTAAAAAAATGTAAGTCGAACTATCATAAGTTGGGACAGTCTGTATAGCCATCTCTCCCTCTTCTGTGAATTTCTTGAAGGCATGAATTACATTTTATTTACCTTATCCTAAGACTGTATATAATAAATATGCTCCTCAATTTATGATAGGGTTACGTCCCGATAAACCCAGCGTAAGTTGAAAATATCGTAAGTTGAAAATACATTTAATACACCTAACCTACTGAACATCATAGCTTAGTGTAGCCTACATTAAACATGCTCAGAACACTTAAATTAGCCTACAGTTGGGCAGAATTATCTAACACAAAGACTATTTATAATAAAGTTGAATATCTCATGTAATTTATTATGAGTATCACTTTAGAACCATTTTAAAGTTGAAAAATCAAGTTGAATCATTATTAAATCAGGGACTGACTGTGTTTGAAAATAATTGGTGTTTAATAACTATTTCTTGAATTGTTTTTATATAGACCGAAAGACACACTTTTTAGAGGCTAAACTTGGACTAAGCTTTGGTTGTTCTTAAATGTTCCTCATTCATTACATGGTATGGGAAATGCTGTGCTCTAAAATATACCTGTTTGACTTTACATAGGAGATAAAATTCCACTGTTTGGATTTACTATATCCTGATGCAATTTTTGATTACTATAAATAGTAAAATTCCATTATAAGTTGCTTTTTAAAGCTATTTTTAAAAATTAGACAATAGACTATTGATACTTACCATCATTTTCTTTCTTCGTGGATGATGGTGTTACACTCTCCTCATTTTGTAATTGAAGACTTTTCTCGTCAAGTATTATCATAGTTTCTTTTTCCTGTAGAAAAATCAAAATTTATTATCAAGTGTGATGAAGTCTAATTTTGACTATAAAACTGAGGGAATCACAGACAAAATCTGTCTTCTGATAGTCACAGTTAATGGCATTTCTTTTGTGTTTTATTAGGATTTTATACATAATCCCATTTCATCATGTATTACATTATAATGTAAATATTTGTTTAGCTTGGTTTTATACCACACTGTGAGCTTCTCATATAAAAGAACTAGGTCTTTTATTTTTATATCTCCAAAAGCTAAACTCAGTGCTTCCTAAATGTTGAACATATTGAAATTCCAAATGGGAACTAAGAATTCTCTGGCTTGGAATTAAAGTTTTTCTGAGGTGAAACCTAAAATGAAGATCGTGTCTTGAGATTATTTTTATGTAAAATAGCTCCTTCAGTTATTCTTTATTGTTCTTGTCTAGAGTGATTTCCTGATGTCATATTCTACCATGTTGAACAGAACTAAAGCACCAGTCATCTTATTCTGTGAAGCACTGTGTAAGCTCTTTCTGTCTCTTCTGGAAGTGACCCTTAATTACCTACGTGCCTCCCTTAAGCCCTGGCCCTTGGAGTCTTTTTATTCCAGCCTACGGATCACCCTCTGACCACTGATCCAGGCAATTAGCTCTAGGAGAACTGGGGTCTTTATAATTTACTCTCTCATATTCTGGGAGAGAACGTTTTCTTTCTGCCTTAGACTAAAGTATATTATGTGGAGTCCTGGTTTCTCTACCCTTTGGAACATTTTCCACCTATAGTCTCGGTCTTGATGCCTTCATTTTCTTGTGTGTGGTCTGGTTGAACAGTCCCTTTCACTCTGTGTGTATTAAGAGCTGTTGAATTCTACTCCATTTCACAAATATCTGACTTCTGAAGCAACATGAAGAAACGAAACAGAACTTATTTTACTTATTACATTTTTGGGACCAGGGAATTTTGAAAGTATTCTTTTAACTGATTGATAGATTCAAATTATCCATGTGGGAGGGGGTTATCACTTTGAGGGGTATAAATGTCTAACTATTACATTGTTATGTACACCTGAAACTAATAAAAAATTATCCATGTGAGCCAATAGCTTATTATTATGATGGGCCTTTTTTTTTTTAATTTGAAGCTATGACTAGTGATACCTATTTTTTTTGTCTTAGTGTTGGCCAAGAATAACACTAGCATGTTAACTAATAACCCCATTGAAAGAAACTGTTAACATTTGCTCATGTGTGCTAGAAAGAAAAGAAGAAAAGAATGAAGGGAGGGTGGAAGGGAGGGAGAGAGAGAGAGAAAGAGAGAGAAAGACACAATTATAACTGGTCATTCTTAAAATCTTTGCATCTTATTTATAGTGGAGAAGAAGTTTGAAGCAATCAACATTGTTATATATTTGGCTGCGTTTCTCATTGTTCCATTGTGTGTGTGTGTGTGTGTGTCATACACTGTAGGCAGGCAACAGATACTTATGTGCTATATTAACTTTTTCTTTACCCAGCTTTCATTTCTGTGTGCCAAGAAAACCACAAGTAATTGTAGCCCATACAAGTGGTTGGAGTATAAAAGATTTGGTACATTATTAACTCAATGACAATTACAGGTACTTGGTACAAATTGACAGAGTCTAAATTATTGAAACTGATTAAAAAAAGAAAGCCTCATTAAGTAGTTTCTCATTTTTTTGGTACTGTGTATAGACGACATATATAAATTATTCTGAAATACTATACATATCAAAATAATCTATTTATTTTCTTGAACCACTGCTTCCTAAAATAATTAACCTTAAGCTGGTAATCCATCTTTATTTCTCCTATGACACATTTGTCCTATTTTGTTTTGAGGCAATATGGTATGCAAATATAGAGCATTGTGTAACACTACTTAACATATAAATCTCAACTGGTCAGGGACCATCGTAAAGTTTAGTTTTCCTTAAATTTCATGTGTTGGTTACTATAGATACTGTTTGGTTACCATAGGTACTATTTATTAATTTGGAAGGCATGCATACTTTAAAAATGTAATCTTAGGGACCTTATTTTTATATTTTGAGTTACTTTGAATCACATGAAGTGCTTTTTCTGTCCTCTTACCTTATCAGACACATTCAGAAAAAACAAAAACACGCATTTAAATGGGCTAGACTATTTTAGAAGTTAAATTTAGAGTAGAAAAAGGTACCTTAATATTTTTTCCATCCAGGTATTTATCCTCATAATCTTGGGTAAATAAGGCTTCTTCAAAATTATCTGTCCCATAATCATAGATGATACGTGAGTCCTGCTGAGTTGGTGGTGCTGGCTTTATCAGAGGCACAAACAGTAGCAGGAGAAGTGTAGACTGCAGAGTCTTCATTTTAACAAAAATTAAGGCGACTGGAAGTTATTACGCTAGTAGCCTGCTGACTGGGATATACTCTTTTTTCCCTGGAAATAAAAACGCAGATCATCGAAGCAATATTTAAAAGCTTAGAGGACTTTTTTGGCAGGGTGTACGAAGTAGGGGCCAGAGAACAAGTATTTAACCCTTAGTGATCTTTAATTAGATGTTATAAGTTTTTTATGTATCAGTAACATTCTGAAAAACAGTTTCAGAAACTGGTTTTATTTTTTAATAAAAAACCCGAGTATTGTTGACAATTTCAGTTTATTCAAAATTAGGTACCTTGAACAAAGGTAGTTCTATGCACTTGAAATCATCATTGGATACCTGTAGTATAAATAGTTAAAATGAAGACCGAAGATCCTGTCTCATGTGAGTTTAAAATATCATATTTCAACTTTGCTACTTTATAAGAACTCTTGATTTGTATTGGTATGAACAAAATCAAGTTCCAAGAAAAGTTTTAAAACTTAGGCTTTAAATTTAACATTATGAAAAGCAGTCACTAACACTTACTTTTAGGTGGCACAAAATATAGTAAAAGCAATAATTTTAATTTTCTTAATTTTTAAATTTTCACAGGTATCACTATTTTTAGTTAATAGCATTGCTTTTTACAGCTTAAACTATGAAAAATGAAGAAATAGTATTGCAGACTAGAAAAATATAGAACTTTTATCAAAGATTTGGGAGACTGTAATAGGAAGGGTTTAGGCTTCCCAGTGGATTTTATTTGGTGGTGCACATTTCAGACTTTTTCTTAAGTAACTTCAAACACAATCACTCAGAGTTGCTGGTGCTGCATTGTAAATGTCAGTTGGTCAAACATCAATGGTTGAAAATTAAGAATAACACAATTTACGACGTTTGCAGCACCCTGTTCTTGCCTCCATGGATATTAAAGCTATGCAATGGTATATTAAAGTGCTTGTTAAACATAATTGTTCAACGTAGCTGAAACTTAAAAAACAAATTAGAGATAGCCTTTTTTATTCACATTGTTAGATGAGTCATATCTTCTAAACGTTATTTAAAATAAAATGTGAAAAAAGAGCCTACCGTTGTAGCTATTTTGAAGTTTTTTGTGGTTTTCCTCAATAGATGTTCATGCCTGTGCAGAAGCCCAAGTGGGAGGGTGAATGAGGAAAGCTGTGGAGTGGTTTCAGACTGCAGATCAGAATTTCAGGGCCCAGCAGTTTCGAAGCAGTTTCCATGTGGTGGGATCTTTGCCGACATTCTTTCACAGGGTGAAATGTAGTGTGTGGTGCTAGAGAACTGTGCTTAGAATGTTTGTAACGATTGTACTCAGTCTGCTTCTACCAATTACCTTAGTTCATGTTATTTTTATCTTGCAAAATAAACACTAATGTTTTTCTGAGTATTAGTTTATGAAGATGACATAGTTATAAAATCATGCTTTCATTTCAATGCTTTCCCAGGAGTTGAAATATCTTCTTTTGAATGAAATAAAACACCAAACCAAAGAATAGTTTATGATATTGATTTTATGAGGAGTAAAATATTGTTCTAGCACTACAGTAAGTATATAGCCAAGAAATTTCCAATGTAAAAATTAGTTTTAGCACAAATTATTTTATAGTTTAGACATTTGGGGTGCCCTTTCCTTTATTTTAGTTACACATAAAATAACCCAAGAGTCAAAATAAGCTTTTAAGAAGTAAATTTGATTTAAAATTTGGGTTTGATAATAAAAGGTATTTTTGTTTGCTAAGTGAAGGAAACTATAAATATGTATTTAATTTTTAAAAGTTTAAGTGGTATTCCAGATAATTATGATAATGTCTTTAAAGATTCACTTTTATTTTTATCATTCTTTCATGCTTTTAGCAAACATTTTTTTCTCCTCTAAGCTAAATATTCAATAAATATGGATATGGATAAATATTTAAAAAATAGAAAATGAAAGAATACTAATTTATTCTCTTTTCTATTCAAAATTGGCTTTATGTCCTTTCAAATAAAGCTTAGATAAGCTAAGACTTAAATACTCATGTTTTTATTTGAATGTGAGTTATTTTAAATTTAGTTGTGGTATTTTCTGGTTTGGGTTGATATAAATTGTCAATTTTATGGTTTTAAGGATACAATAAAACTCTTAAAGTCTTTGAAAATATGTCATAGTGAAACAGCAGTTATTAATTTGTTTTTGCCTCGTGTGGAAGGTTTAACAGGATGTGGAGAAATAAACAGGATAGATATTAAATGTCATATTTAGAGCATCTTAGAGATTCATAGATTTACTGATAGTATACACAGTTTGATACTTTGTACTAAAAAAGTTGCTTGTGGGTTATAATACCTTTTTTTGAAAAGTTTTGACCAGTGAATAATACAGTTTTATTAGCATTCATTCATTTAGTAAAAATTTGTTGAGCACCAACCAGCCCTCTGCCAGAACTACAGACAAAATAAGCTTAGACAAGGAACTTGTTGTCTGTAAGTCAACAGGAAGGGCAGCAAACACACCGCAGAATGCGCAGTGGGACCTGCTCACAGAGTCTGGGAGAGGGGGAGGCCATGGAGGCTGTACCAAGTTGACTTACATAGAGAAAATGGGTGAGGAGTGGGGATGGTGGCAGAGGGTGGTGTTCTAGGAAGGGGAGTGTCACATAGGCTGGGGAGAGTAAATCATTGAGAAAATTTATAATTAGTTGTATATGGCTGGAGCTTGGAGGGAAGGAGAAAAGAGATGAGAGGGTGGTGCATATTAAGAGGTCAGACAGGACTAGGGTCAGATTAAGGAGAGTCTTTTATATCTTACTAAGGTGTTTGGGCTTTGTTCTGTAGCTAGTGAGAGACCACTGAGATTTTTTTAGCCACTGAATGACATGATCCTATTTTCATTTTATAAATATCCCACTAATGTTGAATTTTTTGAAGAATACCACTACTTGTCTATTGTATTGGTTATTTATTACAACTTTAGTGGCTTAAAATAACACACATTCATTATCTCACATTTTCTGTGGGTCAGGAGTCTAGGCATGGCCTTGCTTGGTTTTGTGTTTCAGGATATTACCTGGAAGCTGCAATCAAGGTGTTGGCTGGGCCTGCAGTTCCCTTTCGGAGTTGATTAGGGTAAAGGGTTTGTGTGTAAGCCCATGTGGTTGTCAGCCACAGCTCCATACAGAATGTGCGACTAAGCTCCTCATTCAGTATCAGTCAACCTAGATGCTGAGTTCAACCACAAGGACACTCATCGATGATGCTTATGTAAGAAGGCCCCAGTAAAAACTGAACAGCGAGGCCACGCGGTCACACATCAATGCTGCGAGGGTAATGCATCCTGAGAACAATGGAGGCTCTGCACTCTGGAATACTCCGAGACTCTTTCTTGCTGGATGTTGGCCAAAGGCCACCCCCAGTTCCTTGCAGCATGGCCTCCTCCATCAGGCAGTTCTTACCATGGCAGGTTGCTTCTTCACAGCCAGAAAGGGAGATAATCTTTTAGCAAGATGGGCATTCCAGTCTTTGTAGCAGTCATGCACACATAGTCACACATACGCCATCGCCTTTGCCATGTCTGTTTGTTAGAAGCAAGTCAGAGATCACACCCACACTGAAAGGGAAATGACTACACAAGGCCAGATTCTAGAGATTTTCAGAATTGCACTGGATAATAAAACCCATCTTTTTGCTCAGAGTTAGCCAAACTTTAAAGTTTGAGGGCACAGCTCCCCAAACAACCCTCACATTTGATAATTTGCTAGGACTTATGGAACTCACTGAAAACACCCTTATAATTATATTTTATTACATGGGAAGGATGCACCTAAATATCAGCCAAAAGAAGAGATGTATTGGGCAGAGTCTCGGAGTATTCCAGAGTGCAGAGCCTCCATTGTTCTCAGGATGCATTACCCTCGCAGCATTGATGTGTGACTGCGTGGCCTCGCTGTTCAGTTTTTACTGGGGCCTTCCTACATAAGCATCATTGATGAGTGTCCTTGTGGTTGAACTCAGCATCCAGGTTGACTGATACTGAATGACCCAAGTCCCATCCTAAATCACATGGTCCTCCTGTCTCTTTTTGGCATGGCCAACCCAACCCTAAGACTATCGGATATGACCAGTACCATCCTACAATCTGACTCTAAACAAAGATGTAGATTACCTAGTAGAGGCTGACAGCAAAGCCCAGACTGCTCTTTGGGGTCAATTTCTTTACTACACAGTTTCCAGTATAAAATATGTTTGAAATTTAGGTTGTTTTCTATTCCAGAAAGAACTATTGTATCCTAGTAGAACGCTATTTAGCTTTCATTGCACAGTAATAAAAGATGAAAGCTTTCTAAGGCTCACAAGCGGGCATTTATCCAAAACTGAGAATTTTCTCTGTGGAGCTCTTTGGTGACTCTATTGCATTATCCTTCGTATCTTTCTAGGGTGTTATATCTTTGAAGGTGTCCCCTCGAACTGTTGGCTCTATGTCCTAATTGTTTCTCAGCAGCAGGCAATCAAAAATGTACTGAATGGAATTGAATTTTGGAAACAAGGGTTTTTTAGGAAGAGTATTGTTTTGGAGGAGGCTTAGTTCTACTGATAGAGACCATAACTACCAAGTGGATTAAGCTTCAAAAAAAGTACAATCCGGAGGAGTCTTTCCTCTATCTTCTTCATCCTCTAATTTTATAGGAAGCGGTGTAATTTAGGAGTCTGAACACCTACGCATTAGTTTTCTTCTGTCATTAACCTTCCCCTTCTCTGGTCAAGTTAACTTCTTTGTGGTTTATTTTCTTTATCTTTTGGACTAGACTGTAATTCCTACAGAGTTTCTCAACCTCGGCACTATTGAAATTTTGGACCAGATCATTCTTTGTGGTTGGGACTGTCCTGTTCATTGTAGGACATTTAGCAGCATCCCTGCCCTCTGCCCACTAGATGCCAGTAACACTCCTCCATGCCCTCATCCTTGTTGAGACAACCAAATTGTCTCGAGACATTGCCAGTGTCCCCTGGAGGGCAAAGTCACCCCATAGAGAATCACTGAGTTGCCAGATATTTATAGACACTTTAAAATCCAATATTCTAGAATTTTATGGAAAGTCTATGATTTGAATCTTCATCTCAAATCTTGTGCGTATGCCTGAAGCCCAGTCATTCTGTCAAATGAGATAAAGAGGAGAACCGAGTACTTCCCAGACTAAAGGGTGAGATTTAAAGGGAGCGGAATTATGATTCAATATAAAGAAGGGTTCATGTTAAAACTGTATCGTATTTGTGAGTTTAATTTTTCTGAGTAATACAGAAATCTCCATATAGTGGGTTCACAACCTAAATATGTAAAGTAATATCAGACATGTCCATGATTTTGTGGTATTTACTTGCTAGGCATAGTTATATTTAAAGAAACTTTGGATTTTTTAGCTACTGTGATTTGATTTTGTTTCTAGCTGCTGTTATACCTTATTTCCGAGATTTAGAAAAAATGGATTTGAAATCAGGAAACTAGGGTTTTAGTTCTAGCCGTCGTTGGGGTCATACGAATTCTCTGCAATAGTAAAAGTATACAGAAGAGACAGGTTTATTTCTTCTATTTTGTTCCCATGGAGTTGGTTGTGTGTTATATGATATGCATACACCTGCATTTTAGCTCAGTGGTCCCAACTTGAGGAATAAAGTCGAAATGTATACTGTTTCAGGTAATATGTAAACACCAGCTAAACATTCTCAACTAGCAATATTGTGAGCAAATTTATGAAATATCCTTTATTTTTATGTACTTTCTAAAAGCTAAATAAATGTATGTTATGCTTTTATGTTTGTTAACTGAGCTTGGGTTCATGGTATGATTTGGATTTATTTGTTAGTGGCCACAAACACGGTTCAGCCTAGTAACTAATATAACCAATACTTTGAAGTGTAATGAGAAAATAGATGAATTTTCATCGTTTTCTTTCCTGTTATAAATACCAAATCAACTGGTTTTAATCTGCAATCTTGATGTGCTAGTTGAAGAAGTACTTCTTCACTTTCTCCTAGGGAAAGCATTAGAGGTTACTTGTTTTTAATGGGAAATATTTGGGGTGGGTATGAGTTCCTTAGGGCATTTTTAAGTAACAAAGATGGTTGTTAACCTTCTTTCTTATTGGCCCTGTGGCTGGAGACCATTTGTGCTGTGTTTGCATATATGCACCTTTGGAGGGAGGAGCCATAGCAGAACTGACCTCTTCTTCCTCCCTCATAGGAGTTTGAGCTTACTTGGGAGGGGTTGGAGGAAACCCTCCTCCTTGGCAGGCTGTCTAGAGGTGATTTGGAAAACTGAACTATCAGATAGTCACTTGTAATATGTGTATATTTGTTGTGCATGTATGATTTAAGCACCCTCCTCTCTCTCCCTAGTGAAACCTTTAGTAAAGTCTCTCGTTCACCAATCTTTTGTATGAGTACTGCCTTGGAAGGAACCGGAAGGTTGCTGACTCTGTTCTAGGGACCCTGAGACAATACTGAGGTGTGCAGAACACAGCTGACATTTGGGGAACACATGTGAGGTGTGATCACAAAATACGGTGAATGTTTCAATAAACAAACATTTATTACAGTAAAAGACACATTGCCATTAATCCCCCTCACAATATTCCCTCTCGCTTTGAACACACTTATCCCATTGCTCTGGTCACTTCCTGAAGCAGTTCTGGAAGTCCTCTTTCGTGAGTGTCTTTAGTTGTGCTGTCAGGGCTGCCTCAATGTCCTGAATCATTTTGACTTTGGGGAAGAGCCAGAAGTCGCACGGTGCCAGATCCAGTGAATAAGGTAGATGAGGACACATCATAATGTTTTTATTTGACAGAAATTGCTCTACCAGAAGCGATGTGTGACATGGAGCATTGTGATGATGGAAGATGATTTATGGCACACTTTAAAACACACCTTTTCTCAACTATAGCTCACATCTGACTGACTGCACCGAACAAGTTGAAACTTGTCACACACTGTTACTAAGGTTCGATGTGCCACTTCCCATATTGAAGATCCTGCCTTTCTGTTGACTGACACTTGGCAGCAGCATTCACAGCATGTTTTGATCACACCTTGTAGGTCTAACAGGGGTTGGCAAACTTTTGAGATGGAAGAGCCGCCAGGGGTCAGCAAACTGCATCTCGCGAGCCACAGGCTCTGAAGTAAAATTGAAAATGAAAATAAAACTATCATAGTTTCATTTATAAAACTTGTAAAGGATATTATTCACATGATGGTGATTATGTAAAAATATATTTATGGCTCTCAAATAATTTTTAAATTGTTGTGAGGGACAAGATTGGCTCTTCCAGGGGTCGGCAAACTTTTGAAACAGAATGTGGCTCACGAGCCGCTCTTTGCCGACTGCAGGTGGCTGGGCTGGACATGCTGAAATAATGGTTCCTGCTTGTTGGGTGTCTGTGACTGGCATGGGCTTTGTTACAAGCTGTGTTATGGACACTGTTTCTCTTTATCCTTCCAACAGTCATATGCAAACCACTTTACTGTAGAAATGCGGAAAGGGGGCCTTCCAGGAGTTAAGTTACTTACTCAATGTCACCTAGCTTAGTTAAAAGTATGAAGTCAGGCACATCTGATTTCAAATTCCTTGTTTTGAATTGCAAAATTGTACTGTTCTATTGTTCACTAAGCCTGTTCTTTGAGGATTAAAAAATATTTTCTTTTATCAGTTTAGGAGATAAAAATAGAAGCCCCAAAATTCTGAAAGTTGTAGAATTTTTTTTTAACTGTACAAGAGGTAAAATAAGTAATTACCAAATCTCTATATTAATCTCCATTCTTGCCGCTCAGTTCCTACTCACACATCTTCCTCGAAGCCTTCAACTACTTCACCGCATCCCAGCCAGAAGTAAAGTTAGGATATCTGTTCATATTGCTTTTTGTAGTTACTGCCACTTTAGCATTTTATTTCTTTCCTCGTGTTAGAATGAGTTGTTTGATTTTTTTTCTTAGTTAAATTTTTAAATAACAGCTTTGAGATACTTCACATCTAATACAATTTTCCCTTTTAAAGTATACAATTCAATAGCTTTTAGTATTTTCAGACTTGTACAGCCATTACCACAATCAATTTTAGAATATTTTTTTCACCAAAAAGAAACCCTCTGCCCATTATCAGTCACTCCCCACTTTTCCACTGTTCCCCTGCCATCTAGCCCCAGGCAGCCAGTAATCTTTCCGTGTCTGTAGATTTGCCTGTTCTGGACATTTCCTATAAAAGGAATGATACAATGTATAGTCTTCTATGCCTGGCTTTTCACTAGCATAATATTTTCATGGTTCATCCAGGTTGCAGCGGGTATCCTTACTTCATTCCTTCTTTGGGCCAAATAATATTCCATTGTGTGGATAGATCACATTTTGTTTATAAATCCATCAGCTGATACATTTGTGTGCTTTCTGGCTGTTAATGGATAATGCTGCTATGAACATTTGTGTACATTTTTTGTGTGAACATATGAGTTCAGTTCTCTTGGGTATAAATCTAGAAGTGGAATTGCTGTCTCGTAGTTAATGTAACTTTGTGAAGAACTGCCAGACTGCTTTCTAAAGCAGCTGCAGCTTTTGACATCCCTACCAGTGGTGCATGAGGGTTCCACTTCCCCACCTCCTTGCTAACATATGTGGCTGGTTGCTTATAGCTCTCCTGTGACTGTAAAGGGGTATCTCATTGTGGTTTTGATTTGCTTTCTGTGATGTCTCCTCATTAACTTAAACCATTCTCAGTAAGAAAGTCTTGTCTTTTTTATCTGCTAAAACACCCAGTGTTTTCCACATAGTAGCTCATACAAAATGTTCAAATTTATAACTCTATTTTTAAGAAATTCAGTAAAAGGGTAGGTGGTCCTTAAAATTTTTTACCTCTGTTGAAAGTGGCAGTTACCCATATCGCTAGCGATTTGCTCTGACCTTTATGCTCACACCTACATCGTACGGTGTCCCAGGTACACATAGGTATTCTATTTCTTGTCCTCACATTGCTGAGCCCTTCATACCAAATGACTTGATGAATGTTAATTAAATGAATGAATGGAGAGTTGCCTGTTTTCATTCTGGATTGTTGAGCTTGTCCTTGGGGTCAGGTGGGTGTTCTGTTTCTGCCAAATGCTAATAACCTACTCAAAGATATAAAGAACATTAGAGGCTTCATTTTAAACTGTCATCTCCAGAAAAATAAAGACTCACCACTTGAAAACTGTTTCAAAATATTGTTTTACTTGTATAGTCTCTGCGTATTGTCCAAATTATTGTTTGTTCTTTGGCTTCGCTGTATAGACAGTCCCAGATTTGTTTTTATTCCTTATCTGAAGAATTCTATGAAATGTTAGCCTGGTAAATCAAGAAAGTTCATTACAGCAGTTAGATCATTTTCATTATAACACATAATTAAAATACTTCAAAATGATAGATTAAATAATGTGATTTTTAAGATTTTAAACAAGATATCAAAGCTGGTTTATTCAAATTTTAAAGGAACTCTATTCAACTTTAACACTATGTAAATAAACGTTGGCTGATACACATAGATGTTTCTAATTAATTGTGCTAGAAACATAGAAGTGTTTAATAATGTTGATTGCTTTCTTGTGTCAACATTAACTTAACCTTGTGAACAAAGCAGTTATTTATTAGGAAATCTTTATGTAACTAAAATAAAGAAACCTTTCTCTAGTGAATTTACTACAAAAACATTTATCCCAGTTAAAATGAAGCACAGTAAAGATTGTTTGGACAGTTGCTGAAATTTGCTAAATACAGATTTTGATGAAATAATTTGGTGTTTTTTAGTTTTCCAAACAGGGTTTAAAATTCTGTTGCTTTGGTGCTCTGAGAGAAAAACAAGACTCATTGATTTTACGAATTGCATGCCTTGGATACTTAGTAGAATGGCCTCTTTTGAAAATCAAAAATATCATTCTGTGCTCTAAGTAGTGGGGTCAGGGTGATGCATGTCATGGTGATGAGATCTCAAACACAAGTGTGAGAGCTTTTCTGGAGATCCGGTCAAAGAAAAGAATCCATTCCTTAAATGAATGTCTGCCTATTACATTAATGTAACCCCCAGCATTTAAACACTATCCTCATAGTACTTCAAAGCAAATGGTGTACAGTTCTCAGCTTCTAACGCTATTTCTTTCATCATTCTTAGAAAAATTACTATTACTAGAAATGGCCTACTCGCTTTTTTCTCAACATGGTAAAAATTTTTTTTTTATGTTTAAAGTTTAGTTTTTGATTTCCACTTGTCATTCTAATTTATATTTCTAAAGACTTGTATCATTTTGAGTAAGTTCTAATTCTATGGAATGATGCAGATGTTACCAACGGCTTAAATTCAAGTACTTGATCTTATACATAATTCTAGATATATTACTGTGTACTATAAGATTTCATGAAGTCATACGTGCATACCTATATAGTTTCTTGCCATTCTTGACTTTCATAGTAGTGAGGGTCCACATTTTCTTCTGTTTCTTCTTGTTCTGGACCTTCACGACCATCATCATCATCTTCACTGTTAGCATCATCATGAAATCTTCCTAACACTTGGGTCTTCAGTTGTATTGTTTGACCATTAGTGCTTCTTTGTTCACCATAGTAAATAGTATGTATATGAGGGAAGCAGAGGAAAATATATGAACTTATTGGCTCTTTTAGCTTATTTTGGTCTATACGAATATATGTTAAATGGTGGTAATATAGTGGGTCAACAGATGGACACATCACTGTAACATTGATATCTGAAAAATACAAATTAAAAATTAATCCTATGTTACATTCATAATCCTATATTGGATTTTATTAAAATGTTATATGGAACTAGTTTTATTAATTAGAATACTTATAAGTGGAATTAGGTTTAATTTTATAGTAATCCAATATTACAATGAAGAAAATGAAACTAAATGAATTTTATATTATCAAAATAAATGATGACTTCATTGGATATTTAGTAATTATTTAAGTAGTAAATTATTTAAGTAATAAATTCTGAGTAGACACAATTTCAAAAAGAAATAATGAAAATCACCTATAGTCCCACTACTCTGAATACTCATATTTCTTCATATACTCTACATACTGTTTCTCAATGTTCAAAGTGATAAAATTTAATAGAAGACTATAAATTTTGCAGCACACCTTTCTCTGGGGCCAGTTTCTGCCATTTTCCTAGCCAACTTTAAAGCAACCATTTTCTGCAATGTGTAAAGCATAGCTTTATAAAGATTTGTTCTTTAAAAGGTCAAAATACTATTCTTTTTGTCTTTAAGATATAATGAAATTTTACATACTTTCAATTTCATTATTTTCTAGGTATAGGTGTTCTAAATTTCTTGGAATATAGAATGCTTGCTTCAGTTTGTTGTGTCCAACGTTGAGCTCTATAAGTTTGGAAAGATTAAAAATATTATATGGAATGTCTTGTAGTTTGTTGTGTGACATTCTTAGAGCATGAAGTTTTGGAAGTTCACTGAAGTAATTTTCTGGTATAGAAGAAATTGAATTGTTTTCTAAAGATAGATACATAAGTGAAGAAGGCAAACCAGGAGGCATTAATTCTAATCTGTTATTACATAGGTTGAGCTGCATTAATTTTTCCATTTTGGCAAGATTTTTGTCTTGTAACATGGAATCATCAAGTTGGTTATAACAGAGATCGAGCATGGTCAAGTTTACTAGCCCATCTACGGCATTTGTTTGCAGTCTGGAGATCTCATTGTAACCAAGAAGAAGTCTTTCCAAAGACTTAGGAAGAGGAAATGGAAATTCTTCTAAACTGTTATCCTGTAGGTGAAGTTGTAGTAGATTTGACAACTTGGCAAACACGCCATGATCAATCTTTTGAGATTTAATTTTGTTGTGGCTGAGATTGATTTCTTTAAGATGAGTTGCATTCATGAATGAATCTGCAGTCACAGCCTCAATTTCATTGAACTGAAGATAGACTTGCTGAATGTGTGCCGGAATATTTGGGATAGTCTTGAGTTTGCGATTATCACAGTACATTGATGATGGAAAGTTAGGTGGACAGAAGCATTCACTGGCACAGCCTAAAGTATGCTGATGAAAAGGTACCCCATAGTCTACATTTTGATGATACTGGAATTCTGGTTGGTAGACATCATCTGACTCTTGGTCATAATCTTCATCCCATTGATAACTTTCATATTGGCAATATACTTTGACTCCAAGAAATAAGAGAAGGATACATACTGGACCTAAAGAGCCCATATTCTTTTTTTGTCCTATTGCAAGGAGAAAAGAAAATAACATTGTGCAAAAAGTGAGTGAAACTTAGAATAATTCTTGTATAAATTGACAGTTATATAAAACACATAATATCTATATCTGTACTGACATTATGAAAGAATGTCCAGAATCAATGGGCAATGCTCAAGTCAAAATTAATGTGTATGTACCAGTAAGGAGGTTTTATTCTTTTTAAAAGTCACATTGCATTGAACCAGACTAAATAACCTTCTTTTAAGAGAATTTCAGTTTGCCCTGCTCACTAGACTATAGATTTGCAATGACAGCATGATCTCAACCCCAAAGCCAGTGTTTTCTCCACTCTTGATGTTGGGTGTTCTCAGTGATGGTCAGTGATGGTCACTACTGATGAGAGGGGAGACCCTGTGCTTTAGTTACAGAGCTTTTGTCTAGGAGATTCTTCCTTAATATTACCAAAATTTTCCCACTGCAACTTCCTTCTGCTGATGTTCTTTTCTGTCCTTTGGGAAAACGTGAAACACTCTCTTTTATGTGAGAGCTATCATGTTTTTCTTTAGAAATAGCTATGTTTCCTCTTAGTGTTTTCTATCCAAGCCTAACTGTGACTTCAGATTTTCCCCATGAAGCATTTTCCAAAATCCAGTGATTTTGTCTCTGAGTGTACTTGCACAATGACTTCAAATCCCAAAATACACACAATATTTACATTCTACTAAGTTATAATATCTAATAGGTTATTATATGCATTTTTCTTATATTCTTTCCAGCTTCCTTCTTTCTACATATATATATATACATATATATATATATATATATAGTATTTCTTCTTTTTTTTTTTAGCTTAGCCATCTTGATACCTGTTAGCAGCTCAGCGGCAGCTCAGCTTGGGCTGGGAGTTGAATCAGTGAACGTGTTGCTCAGAACTTGCACTGTTGAGCGAGCTCTTAACCAACTGAGCCATGCATCCAGCCCTCTACTAATATTTTTAACTTAGGTTCTACATATACAGATATTAAAAAATACTGTTCTGTCTCCCAGGAGTTTGACCCCTTGGAGGATCTGGAGAGACATGTAATGTGAGTAGAAGGGTGTGTCCGGGTAGACTGTAAAGGAGGGCGCGCTCAGCTTGAGAAACATAGACAGTCAAGGCTTGTGCTGAAACTTGAAGTGGTAGTGAATGGTGGAGCCTGAAAACCTTCAGTTCAGTCCTGTCACTTAGGATGGTCAAGTCATTTAACATGTCTGCCTCTTGCCTCCTCAATAAAATGAGAATTATAATTGCTTGCCTGTTTATCTCACCTGGTAATTGTTAGGGTCATATGAGATAGGCACGTAAATGTGTTTTGCAAATTGGAAAGTGATCCAGATGAAATAAGTATATTATTTAGGAAAAGGTTTAAAAAGAAAAGAAAAGAAACCTACCTGTTTTATTCCGAGGCCATTTTTCTATGTCCTTCTCATCCAGGGTTTCATGAGAGAATTAATGTCCTAGCATATCACTGTATGTAATGAAATGACTTATCTCCTATTTACTTAGAATGGTACTAGCTATATTTCATCATTGGGATAATTGAGAAAACAGTTACCTCAATCATTTTCTCTGATAGAACCTAATTTTAGAAAGAATGCTGTCTTTCTAAACGTCTCAGTTTCTTGTTTCTTTTCTTGTCAGAAACTAAAATGTGGTAGACTGTAAATATTATGTGTGTTTGGGAGTTGAAGTAGTTATTCAAGTAGAGTCATGGGCCCTTGATCTTTTTTCCTTCAGTCATATGTCCTCCAGTCTTCCTCACCAGTTCTTCCCGTGCCCCCACGCCCTAGGACTTGTCATTACTAGTGCTGCAACCCTTCACACCCTGACCACTCTCTTCTATCTTTATAGCTTCCTCCAGTAATTCTTCAACTTCAGTGGCACCTAAAGTATAGCTATCCTACAATTCTTTCTTACCATGCTAGATTCCATAGCGCATCACTGTTGTCACTTTGCACCTGTCCTAAACTTTCTGACCCCTTACATCCTCGTATGCTTCTGGTAAACCACAACTCTGATTACTTTACTTCTCCATCTATTCTCGGCCTAAGCCAGGAAGCTGAATCTGACAAGAGAAAACCAGGTCCATGACAACTGGTCTCACTTTAAATTTATGACTGTTCAAGTGCTGCTGGCAACATTCATTAGTGCATTCCTTCCCCTTCTAGCCAAGCCTCTACAACCTTCTTCCCCGTTGGTTTTGGTGATGATGACCTTACTTCCAATTTTAACAAGGAAATAGGATCAAGCAATCGTTTAGTTCTAATGTGTTTGCTTGGGTCGCTTCAGTTAATGGTTGTCTTGAATTATTTCTAGGTGTAAGGCACTGCTTGGTGGGGAACACAAAAATGAAGGCATGTTCCCTTCTGTAATGAGCATACAGTTTAGCGGACGAGAGATACAACAAAGGTAACCATTTTCTTAGGCAGAGGGAAATATGGTTTATAACAGAGACACCAGTGCTTTGGGAGTCCGTGGCTTAACCCTGCCTGTGGGGGCAGGGAAGTCTTCATAGGCGTCCTTTGGCCCAGTCGTCGTGAGGTTAGTAGGATTGGGTATAGAACTTCCTATTTACTCACTAGTTGATAATAACTTATGTATTTGTAGTATTTTATTATGCTCATTATAGTAGCATATTAACTTTTTGAAGCACTTGTCACACTTCATGTCAGTCTCACTGCACCATGTAGCTGGGCTCTATGACGCTACTGCTTCCCAGAAGATGGAAGTAGAAGCAGAGGCAGAGACACTCGGCTGCGTAGGGTCAGGCCATGTGGGGGTCTCACAAGCTCCCGGGTACACAGAGGAACTTTGAAAAGAGCGTTGCTCATCAGAACCCTGAACTTTATCCCTGGGTTAGGAATATTAGCAATCATTAATTAATAACTTTACATTTAAGAATTAAAGTCATGACGCTGTTGTTCAAAAATTATGAGAAATTATTTGGAAAAAAGGCTACCTGGGTGATACTTTTGATCCTGCACCTTATTGCATTCCTGCGACTTGGAATCAAGACCTCATGAAGGGGCCTCTCTAGAAGGAAAGGGATTCTTGTGGTCTTCTTGGCCACGAAGAATAAAGGTTTCTCGCCTAAACTTATCTCATCATCATTGTCCTCATCCCTTGAGGACTGTGGCCCTGTCCCTTCTCCTTGGCCTACTTCCTTTGACTGTTGTTAGTGCAGCTTTCTGGTCTGGAGTTCATCCCATCTCTATGTCCATTATTTTCTATTCCTTTTAATCTTCAATTTCACTCCTGATAATTTTCCCTGTTATGATGATCTCATTTCTTTTCATCCAAATTTTCATTCAGCTAATCTCTTCCCAGCCATTTGCTAAGCATATTTTTGTTACTTCTGACCTTTCATGTTCTCCAATTTATGCCTTGTTCCCTATAGGATAACTGTAGCAAAACAATATAACTCATTGTCAATCATCTCATTTCCTGACCTCTAATTTTTGACGGAATCTAATAAAATGCTAAAAAAATTGGATTAATGATTGGATTAATAGGTTTAGATTCCATCTTATTAATGATACTTATCACTACCAATGTTGATTATTTCTAGGCATTTATTTCACCACAGTGATTTCTTAAAATGAACAGCCACAGAGAATGTGGCTATTCTCTTTTCTATTGAATATTTCTCCATCACAGTATACTACATGTGTAGTAGAAAAATAACAAATGTGAACAAGAAAGTAAAATACAAGTTACCAGTTTTTAAAATTATCCATTAATGTGAATATTTCATATTATAGCTATAAAAGTTTCTACGTCATAACATTTCTCTTACAGGGAAAAAAGCACTCACACTTTTTATCAGGAAAGTTTTCATTAAAATTATTAATCAAAATAAGATATAAGTTTGTTTATGAAAATTTAAAGTAATTGGAAAACCTCATAACATCGTATTATTTTAAAGACTTAATTGTTTTCTTGGTATGCTACAGAAACTAGAATATGAGAAAGGAAGTATTAATATATGGTTCAGAGTTTTTTCCAAAGCAGTTTTCAGTTTAACTGTAAAATTATTGTACATCACTATTACACCCAAGGCCTAAGGAAGTAAGACTCTTTTGCTATTAAAAATATGAAAGGCTCAAAATTATTTTTAGCCATATACATTTAAATCTTAATTAACTGAAACCCAAGATACAGCACTCATATCTTCACTTTGAGAAACAGGCAAATGAAAACAAAACCATTCTAATATCACGAATTTGGTTAATGGAGAAATTTTGAAAAAATTTCTAGTGAAATTTGTACAAATATCCATCTTCCCTACCACCAGAACCTCTAGCACTGCTTAGATGTATGGCCTAAAGGCATTTGTCAAATTTTTGTTATTTAAAGTTGAGAGAGAGAAAGAGATAGAAAATTATTCCATTAACCTGAAAGCCATTCATTCAAAACAATAACAAGAACAAAAAATATATACAAGTATACAAAGATTATTTATTGGGTGGATCTCAAGTTAGAAAATTAAATTCACTATAATACTTCTTTCCCTGAATATTTTGGCTAATCAAAGTTTTAATGTAGCTTTTACCAGATATTGCTTCCAAAAATTGTGCTTTTATGATGCCTACATTCTACTTTAATTTTAAACACATCAAATATACTTTTTAATTTCTAACAGTAGGAATACTTTCTTTAAAAATTGAAAAATTATTTTATTATCATACCTGTTGAGTTTGCTTTAGTTTTCAGGGGTTGATGAATTTGCAAATCCTGTAAGTGAATCAGAAATTCCTAAATTCTTTAACCGAGCCTCTTAAAAATCCACAGTAACTGTATGCTCAAACAGGGCTGTCTCTTGAATTACCGTAGCAATTTAAGCAAATATAATCTGACTGGAAAACACGGGTTAAATTAAAATTATGTATTTCTTTTCATTATCCAAAGCTTTGTGGATTCAAATTAAGATGCTTGTGTTCTTGGTTAGATTTATGTGGCTTACTTCTTTCTTTTCCTCTGAATTTTGGTTTGAGGTGTGGCAAGAATTTCCCTAGTATGAAAGGCAAACAGAACTAAATGAAACAGCATGTACTGATTACTGTTTTTATTTTCATTTTCATGCCAAAGAATCCCTTAAATTAAGGTCCACTGTAACACGTCTCAGCAATTTAAGGTGGAACACAGAGTCATCTTGAGACTGGTTGTCTGATACCATGTATTCACACCAGTGTTTCCCTTCATTAAGACAATGAACTAGGATTAGAAACATAGCATTTCACATCTAGTTTATTTTTAAAGTAAAATAGATTGTCACTGAAGATACAGGTTAAATGTATAACTTCTCTCCATGCAAAGAATTAAACCTCCTTTTCTATCAGCTTTTCTATCCCGTTTCTCACCTTCCTCTCAAATACACCAGAAAAATGGCTTCTGATAACCTTTGAAATAAAAATTAAACTCTTGGTTATAGAATTCAGTGTCCTGCCTTCAGAAAGTATATTTCAGATTTGCCTGTTTTTAGTAGTACAAAAATAATTTTATAGTATTGAATAAGATAGAATTAAGAACTTCTGCTGACCAATTGCTATTGCCCTTATTTTGCAGATGTAGAAAATTTCCTGATTTCACTGAGCTGTCTCCCCTGAAGAGCAGCAATTAACTGTTGAAATGCTATATTTTTATATAATGTTTTCATATTTAAACAGCGTTAACAGCGTATCTCAGCAGTGAACTTTGAGTTCTTTCTTTGGGAGATTCTTTCAAGCTTGTGCAAACTAATAAGGTAAAGTGAATCTTGGAATTCATTTCGTTTCTTCAAAATAGTGTTTTCCATTAGGCTTCTACAAAGAACTCACAAAATTTATTTTGTTATACTTCAGATTTTTAAAAACTGTACAGTGTTTCAAATGATGTTTTGGCAATATTAAAAAAATCTCATCTATTATTTGAGACACTGGTATGTAAAACGTGGCAGACTGTGTTTGGCCTAAGAGTTCGTTTTGTTACTGATCTTTTCCATATGTTTTCTATTAGTCTTTGTTCTTCAACCTCAGGCTTCCACACTAAGGAAAAGAGAGCAAGTCTGTGTACTTTTTTCAAAAATTATTTTACATACCCTCACAGTTCTTTTGGAAGATTAATTTAAAATCAACACTTAATTTTTATATAATTCCTCATTTAACTCTGTGATTTGAACTTATGGTAGTGATTATGTTGTTCATGTTCCTTACAAATGCGAAAAGAATATCAGACAGCTCAAACACACAGAATCAAAAGTGTCTACAAAATTTACACGAGATTGACGGTGTCCAGGAGGTTTAGGTTTGGTGGGGGAAGGTGGGATGGGAGGGTTCGAGTCAGGCCTTAGAGGAAAAGTAGAAGCTGTGATTGTGATAGTTCACTGTTTCAGCTAGGTGGTTATAATTGAAGCAATCAAGGAGAAAAATCAGTTGAATTGGTGAAAAGTCTAAATTATATTCTATGATTATAATTTGATTGAAGTAGATATAGTATCTCAAGGCTAAATAATATGTTGATGACTCAGAAAGGCCTGATTGAGACCTGCTTAATTATAGTCTTAAGCGTGAAGATGATTTTTCATTCACTTAGCTAATATTTATTGAGCACCTACTTTGTTCAAGGCAGTTTTTGGTGCTGGGGACTCCGCAGTAAAAGTGCCTGTGGTCATGGAGGAGGAAAACAGAAAATAAACATGCCCCTGGTGTGCTTGGAAGACTTAGCCTCCCAGCATTTCAAATCAAATCATGTTTAGGAGGCAGGTGAGCTGCTTCTATCAGAAAGGCCTCAGGCAGCCCTATGAAATAGGCCAAATGCTGGGTGTCACATGTGCCCCGTAGGAATGGCCCATCTTTGTGCATCTGCCTCTATGGGCCTGTGAGAAGCACATACTCCGGAACTCATGGCTGGTTTCCAGTCCCCGTGTCCTTTACTTTTCCCATAAAATGGTGCCCGCGTTCCAACCTCACCCACTCTTATAGAAGCCTGAAGTTTGAGTCCTGATTTCAGCGCATTCCCAAGTGTGGAGGGAGGTTCATCAGTATGCGAGTTGCCAGGGCTGCTAGCTTCAAAATTCACGTTCCAGCATCTGCACCCAGACCTGCAAAGTCAGAACCTCTGAGTGTGGGCCCAGGAACTTCTATTTTATCAAGTGTTCCAGATGCATGCAGACTGGAGAACTATTGATGTAAATCACCTTCTGTCCCTCATGTTCAAATTGGATCTACTACCGAGCCCATTGTGCCCAACACCTAAGGAACTTCTGGGGTGTGTCTGTGGCTCTTGGTCTCCACTGCCACTGCCTTCCTTCCAGCGACTGGTCTCCCTGTGTTCACACATCTCCTTTTCCAATCCATTTTGCATCTTGTTCTACATAGAAATAAACCTGAACTGTACAGTGCTTCCTCCAGTGGCGCCTCATATTCTAAAATAAATTCTAAACATGACCTTCATGACTGGGGAAGCTCTCGTAGCCTGCCTCTCGCCCGTTCTTGGAGCAGTTGACTTGTGTTTCTGGGCTGTGCCCACACTGGCCCAGTCCTTGCTCACTAAGGCTTCGGCACGTGCTTTTCCCTCTGCTTGAAATGCTGTGCAATTATTTGTCTGATTTCTCCTTTGTACCTGGACTCTCTCATGTACTGCCATGTCCCCACATTGTCTGTTCATTTGGGTGCTTAGCATGTGGGTGCTTAGTAAATATTTGAATGAATGCAGAGAACCTTCCAAGGTTCTCCCTTTTCTCCATTTTCTGGATATTTCTAACTTCTTGCCTGGTGGAGCGGAGGTGCTCCTGGAAAACTACCCTGTACCAACACAGAGATTATCTTTCTTACTTCCTGCCTGTTCTCCTGTTTTCGGCTCCCTAACTTCACCTGGTCAGCTGATCAGTGGACATCATATAGCCTGCATATAGAACACATTTTTGTTAACATAAAAACATGAATACAGTAACACTGTACCAAAAGAAGACACTTTTGGTTAACTGGTTGGCTGATGTCTACAGAAGAGAAAAAAGGGAAAGGAGAAATGAGTAATTCTTATCCTTAACACAGCATCTGAATCACCTGTGGAGATTTTGAAACTTTAGGCCTGGGTGGAACACAGTTAATTTTATGTTTAAATGACTCATAGGTTGAAAAGGAAAAATGTTATTTCCTCTACTTATACTCACAGTACTGACACCATATATCTGGGTTTTTCCCCTACCCCCAACAACTTCTCTGATACCAGCTGGGTATCCTACAATTCAACTCAATTCTGACACTTTATCTGCAGTTAGCATCAGACCAGACCCCACAGGTAAGAGCTCAGTCCCACAGGGCTGCGTCCGCCCCCTTAAGATGCCAGTCACAGATAGTAGGTCCTTACGTGACCCACTCTTCTGTCTGACGTGGCTACAAATTGGGGATTCCCATGGCCACCTCCTCAGATTAGGTAATTTGCTATAATATAGCTAAGAGAAGCACTATGTTTAACGGTTTATAGCATAATAAAGCATATGATAAAGATACAGATGTACAGCCAGATGAAGAGATACGCGGTCAGACAATTAAGTTTGTGAACTTGTTGCAATGATATTGCTAACCTTTTTTGATACCAGAGGGATTATTCATTATGAATTTGTACCAACTGGACAAACAGTTAACCAAGTTTACTATTTGGAAGTGCTGAAAAGGCTGTGTGACAAAGTTAGATAACCCTGAACTTTTCACCAACAATTCAGGGCTCTTGCATCACAACAATGCACCAGCTCACATGGCACTGTCTGTGAGAGAATTTTTAGCCAGTAAACAAATAACTGTATTGGAACACCCTCTCTCCTCACCTGATCTGGCCCCCAATGACTTCTTTCTTTACCCAAAGATAAAGGAAATATTGAAAGGAAGAGATTTGGGTGACATTCAGGAAGGACATCAAGGGTAATACGAAGACAGCTCCGATGGCCATTCCAGAAAAAGAGTTCCAAAATTGCTTTGAAGGGTGGACTAGGTGCTGGCATCAGTGCACAGCTTCCCAAGGGGAGTACTTTGAAGCTGACCATAATGATATTCAGCAGTGAGGTATGTAGCACTTTTTCTAGGATGAGTTTGCAAACTTAATTGTCCAATCTTGTACATATGGTGAGGTCCGGAAGGGTCCCGAGTGCAGGAGCTTCTGTCCCCATGGAGTTGGGGTGTGCCCCTCTCCCAGATTGTGGATGTGTTCACCAGCCTGGAAGCTCTCTGAACCCTGTGCACTAGGGGTCTTTATGGAGGCTTCATCATGCTCAATCTCCATCTCCTCTACTTCCCTGCAGGATGGTGGGTGGATGTGGCTGAAAGTTCCAAGCTCCTAATCCTGGCTTTCTCTTTCCTGTAACCAGCCCCGCTCCTGAAGCTATCCGGGAGCCCACCCAGACTCACCTTTTTAGAACAAAAGACACTCCTGTCACCCAGGAACTTCCAAATGATTTAAGAGCCCTGTGTCAGGAACTAGGGCCCAAGACCAAATATCAACAAAATACGCTTCTAGTGTTCCTATGGAAATTACAAAGTTTTAGGAGTTCTGTGTCAAGTATACCAGCTTAGTCACAGGGGTACACCATGAAAACTCACCCTGCAGCTCCTTGTCCCTGGCTCCCACACCAGCAGCCTCTGCTCTGGACCACATTGCATGATGAGACCTTCAGTAGAATATGGTGTGGTCATTTTTTTGTGATTTCCAGAGATATTTTATACATCTAGAAGCAAATGTGCATATTTTAAAATCATTAAGTTGAAAAGAATTCTTACATGAAATTTGAGATGTTTCTAATCTTTTTCTAATATAAACATTGAAGCAGTTAATAACCTTCTATATGTCATTGCACGCGAATGCAAGCACATTCAAGGGATAAGCCCGCAGCTGTGGGCATGCACCTCTGCAGTTGCTCCTATTAAGTCCTCCTCGGTATAGTCTATCAAGATTTTATCCTTTGGGATCTGCTATGTTAAATGGTATCATAGTTGGAGTTTTCATTTCTCCTACTGTGTGTCTGTTTGATTTTTT